ATTTATTAGCTGGAATAATAATAAAACACAACACATTGTGTCAGGTACCAATTTAAGTACTTTCATATAAATTAACTCAATCTTCAGAGCAACCCTATAAGATAGGTACTACTATTATTCCTATTTTACAAATGGAGAAATTGAAGCAAAAAATGTTAAGTAACCTATCAAAGATCACACAATTGGTAAGTATGGGATTAGAATTCCAAGCCAGAGCAGCTGACTTTAGAGCCTATACTTGCAACCACAACTCCACAAGGAAAGTTATTCATCCATCATCTTTTGAAACCAGAAGACCGATGCCAGAAGGCTAACTAAGAAACTTTGTAAGCCAGACAGAGAACCAAACCCCAGTACTACAAAAAAAAAAGTTCTTAAAATCACTTCTCAACCTTTTGGCTAAGATCAAGTGTAGTATGAGAACCAGAACACTGGTCATCTCGCAGGACTAACCCTATACAACTCTTTGCACATGAAAAACCAGGTTCAGGGGATTATCTAAAGAGCTAAGAGGTCTTTCAATCCCACTCTGCTTTGACTGGAAAATGAGAAATCAGGTTGATCAGGACTTGAGAATGAAACAATAGGAAACTGCTGCAGAGAAGTGGTTCACGTAAGTACACAAGAGCCAAGTGTGATGGTGCACATCTGTAATCTCAGCACTCAGGAGGCTGAGGCAGGAGGATTCAGAATCCATGCCAGCCTGGGCTGTATAATGACACTCTTGCCTCCAAAAAAAAAAAAAAAAGTGTGCATTTGCAGATTACTATATTAGACAGCAATAGAATCTGATATGAAGAGTTCAAGTTTTTTCCCAGACTGCCAGTGCATCTGATGCAATCCCATCTCTATCTGCTTTGGAAAGGAGGGCAAAGGGGAGTCAGAGCTGAAAACCAAACACATGCAGGCCAAACCTCTTAAAGGACCTTAGATCCCTTTCCATATACACAAAGAGGGCAATCTCTAGAACAAACAAAATTTTTGAGTCTGGCAAAGGCTCCAAGCAGCAAAATTTTTAGCATCCTTCATAGCACTGGCGAATTAAATGACCAGGAGGAATGGGGAACTGAGGAAAATGCACCCTTCAACTCTAGCCTATGGGCTTTCCTAATATATAACAATTCTTGCTGGTGGAGTGGCGCAAGTGGTAGAGAGCCTGCCTAGTAAGTGTGAGGTCCTGAGTTCAAACCCCAGTACGACACAAAAAATAAAACCTAGGATAAATAACAGTTCAAAGAAATGCAGACCCTGAGAAGCCTGGACATTCCAGCAAACTAAGTGGGATAAGGCAAAAAAGGAGGACACACCAAACTCCAGAACTTCTGAGAGTGACAAGGCCAGAATCAATTATACTTGTTCACCATGCTGCACAGTGCAGCCATCTTCCTAAATGGCTCGCACCGCTAACAGAGGCTTCTGGGCAACACCTTTGAGTGTTCCAACTCCTTCAATGTGATTCCTCTAATAGACTCATCATGAAGAATAAGGCACCAAGAAACAGTAAGTGGTGGTCTTAGGCCTAAGAAGGAAATCAAGTAAGCTCCTGAAGTCTTAAAGCTGTTTCAAGGAAGTGTGAGATGAATGATGAAGTGAGCCATTTTTAATTCCTAAATCTAATCCTAACTAAATTCAAACAGACGGCTTACTGATGGAGAGACACACACACACACACACACACACACACACACACACACACCCCCCTCCGTGGGTTCAAATGCAGGCTGTCTTGCACATGATTTTTGAGACATGTTTTATAAACCCTTAGTGCCCACTTCGAGATACGGGGGTTAACGGCCTGCATTTCATAAAGGTTGCAGGGAGCACTACAGATAATTAACATAATCTGTCCTCACAGGTCCTCTTAGCCCGTTTCCTCACCCCATCCTACCACCCTCTGGACTATCAACCCCTTCAGCAGAAGGCCAGGCGTCAACCCTGGACCCATAGTCCCCTTACTGGAGCAGAATTTGGCTAAATCTGTAGCTGAAGAGCTAACGAGCAGTGCTTGGCCAAAAAAACCAAAGCCAAGGAAGCGAGGCCGGCTCCTCAACCAAAATCTTCCTACCGACGCACAGAGGGTCCGAGTGTATCTGGGACCCTTCAACTGGACGAGGGAAGCGCCAAGGTGACTAAAGACGAGGAGGCTGGGGCTGCAGGGAGCAGTGGGGACTGTGATGGAGTCAGGCCCGTCCCCAGAGGGGACAACAGGGTACGACCGAGCCTCTCACTACCTCCGCTTAAGCACAGTGGCTGAGGACCTCACAAGGGTCCCGCCACCTTTCCGGCCAAACTCAAGAGGGCTCCCGACGGGCTGGAAACGGGGCGCGGCCGAGCCCCAGAGCCCCGAGTCGCGAATGTGGTCAAAGAGGGGTCACCGGGGGAGGAGCCGAGCGGGGAGGACCCGGAGAGGGGCGGAGCCCGAGAGGAGGCAAGAAGTCGGGGGTCCCAGGCTGGGAAGACTCAGGGTTCCCACCCGGCTTCCCGCCGTACGCCGAGCGCCCCCTCCAGCCACGGACCCCGCCGCCACGGCGGGGCAGTCCCACTCCCCTTACCTGGTTCGGCTGTTCTGCCTGCTCTGAGGACGCCATCTTCCTGAGGCCTGAGTAGTCAATCGCCGCCGGGCGAGCTTTCTCCCAAGCGCCCTTGCTCTCGCCCTCTGGGCCAGACCAAAGTAGAAGCAACTGAGCCTATCGATGGGGCGGGGCTTGGGGCAGTGGGTGGAGCCTGGGGCGGTGGGTGGAGCCTGGGGCAATGGGTGGAGCCCAGTGCCCCAGGTCACCTCGCACAGTTTCCACAAGATCCAGAGTCTCTATTCTTTTTTCGTTGCCCCCGTGTGGATAATAATCTTATAGTCCCGTGGGTACATTTAGCGACCAAGTAGTAAACGAATGAACTTGAAGAAACTTTGAAATTAATTTTTAGCCATTCAGTACAGTATAATTCATTGAGTGCCCACCATTTGGTAGGCACTAGAAATAAAACGATCCAAGACTCAACCCCTGATTTTAAGCCCAGGACACACACACACACACACACTACACCATCGTTGCGATTAGAACTCTAACATCTGGGTACGGGTCTATTGGGAGAACACAGAAGAGGGGACCTTTGAGGGAGGAGAGGTTTCTAAGAACCATTATTACTTTATAATGACTGGATTGTTAGATTTCTTTTTTGTTTGGTTTATTTTCTGAGACAAGGTCCTTACACTATGTAGCCCAGTCTGGCCTCGAACTCACTATCCACCTGTCTCTTCCTCCTGAGTGCTGGGATTACAAGCGTGCCACCACTATGTTGGGCTTTCAAATATTTTGGGACAAATGTTCTTAGTTTCAATTTCTATTTATTTTCAACTCTAGAATCAGGCAATACCATACCATAAAATAGAGTAAGTATTCAGATGAGTAGAGCAATGTAGGCTGGTTTTACCGGTAGAAAAGGGCTGAAGAAAGCAAAAAGGAAAAAAAAAATAGATTGCCTGTTTCAATTACTTTCTTGTAAAGCAGGAACAGGGAGCTAGAACAAAAGAAAAATAACTAATTGGCCAACATCAGTTTACTTTTTTTTTTTTTTTCATGGCAGCACAGTGCTCACACTTGCTAGGCAGGCATTCTTACCACTTGAGCCACTTCGCCAGCCCTAGGCTACTTCAGGTTACCTTTTTGTGTAAGAATTAAGGCAAAGGTAATGTCAGGATCATGTCAATTAAAACTGACCTATTTGAGAAATTTGACGCTCTCTCTAATCCTGATTTCTCAGAAGTTCAGATAAACAGCTTAGTTTCAGGTTGGTAATGTGTAACTTTATAAGTGACTTTTTGTATTTTTTCAGTACTGGGGATCATACCCAGTACTGATCTGTAGGCAAATCCTCTACAACTGAGCTACCCTGGCCCTGTATTTTAATTTTTAGCCTAGTCTGTTGGAGCCTAGAGCAAAAACTCAGCCTAAAACAATAGCCTAATGCAATTTTTATTTGACAGCCTGTTTATGTATTTAAGCATTTTGTTCCAAGATCCCAACTCAGGACTGGAGGCATGGCTCAAGTAGTAGAGCACCTGCTTTATAAGTGTGAAGACCTGAGTTCAAATCCCAGTCCCATCAGCCAACCAGCCAATAAACAAAAACACCTAAAGCAAAAAGGGCTGGGGGCTTGGCTCAAATGGTAGAGCGCAGGCTGGGCTTTGTGTTCAGCCACCAGTACCATCAAAAAATAACAAACACCAGTACCACAAAAAATAAATAAAAATTTTTTTGAAAAGCAAGATCCCAACTCAATTTGCACAGGTGAAGCAGGAAGTAGAATAGGTAGGAATCTTATGCTACTTCTTTTCCCTTTTTTTATGCTACTTTGTTTCATTTTTAGTAAGACTGAAAACTACATTATTCAACCTTTAAAATGGACTCCTTTAAATCGTCCGGAAGTTTGGGACATCTTACAGGTCTTTTCGGGTTAGAAAGGGAAACTACTACGCACAATACAGTGGCAAACCTTTGTTTAAGTATTAAAATTATGCATCTAAGGGTTGGGGTGTAGCTCAGTTGTAGAGCATTTGCCTAGTATGTGTTAAGGCCGTAGATTCAATCCTCAGCACCACAAAAAAGAATGCATCTATATATGCACATAAGGATGCTCTAAAAATTCAAGGGAGTACATTTGCAAAATAAACCCTTATGGCACTCTTTGATGAATGTGCAATTGCAACTCCTAAATATTAAATAAAAAACAAGGCTGTAATGGAACCCAGCGGTAAAGCTAGCAAACATGAGACTCTGCGTTCCCACAAACAAACAAACAATCCACCCACACCGCTCCTGGACTAGAATGCCCCAAAACTGAAGGGTTTGAACTCAGAGACTACGACTCCCGTCATGCGCCAGGGCTGCACGTGATTAGCAGCAACTAGAACTACATCTCCCGGCGTGCCTTGATACTACAAGCGATTTGCAGCAGCAAGAACTACATCTCCCGGCAGGTCCCGAGAGGGAGAATCAGGGTAGTAGGAGAGTGGCTACCAGCTTCCTGTAATTTCGCGGAGTCAGTCAGGTGCCACCTGAAGGGGATGGAGGTGTCCGGGGTCTCTGGTGCTCGGGAACCTGACGAGATCCGGCCTCTAAAGCCGTGTCTGCTGCGCCGCAACCACAGCCGCGAACAGCATGGAGTAGCGGCCTCCTGCCTCGAGGAGCTGAAGAGCAAGGGTTGGCAAGGGACGGGTCCGGGGCGGAAGGCTGGGGGAGCGAGGCTGGTGAGGATGTCCGGCGGGGACCGGGAAGGTGACCTGGGAATTCTTGTAGATCGGTTGGAGCCTGGGACAGAAATAGCCCAGGTTTCGGGCTCTTCAGCTCATCTCGTGTGAAACTCAAGTGGGAATGGTAGATGGGAACCAAAGTGCAAATCAAGATTGACTCAGCATGGGTGTCTTGCCTGAAATCAGGTAGATTTTAGTCCAAATCGAGCCTAGTGTATTCCTGCCATGCTGGTTCACAAAGGTGGTGCCAGGACCCCAGCCGAGCCCACGCGGGGTGGAAGCGGGTGGGTTTCCCGACTGGTCCATGAAGAGAGACGAGCTGCCCGGTATCCACCCCTGTAGGGTCCAGACGAGGAACGTGAGAGGAGGGAAGTTCTGAGCCTGACCTTGCTCGTAACCATATCTGCTCTTGCGAAGGGATACTGCTTCAAAGGGACGCTGGGACTCTGAAATGAGATAATATATTCAAATGATGTAACCGTTATCAGCCCACAGCAACAAATGATGTTCTGCGGGTGTGATGGGTGAGCCCACCCACGGAGTCGCAGTGTGTGTTTGGAGAATGGCGCTTCCTCTCAGGGTCGCCAAGACGCCGTACAGATGATGTGAGACCCAGGGGCGGCCCAAGCACCATAAACCCTTTGGTGACATGGATTTTGCCACATCAGTGTTTACGTATTTTTTTTCTTGGCATTGAGTTACTTCAATTTTAGTGCCACTTCAGTGCATTGGCTGGATGTCCTTGGCACAGAGGCGGGCATTCTCAGCAGCTGGGCCTATAGGAGGCTGACTGTTCTGTTTTGGGTGACAGACAACACTGCTGAAGGGTATTTCTAGTCTCTTGGCTCTTACTACTTAATCCAGTCTTCTAGCACTTTAGGCATTACCATCACTCAATGAAGTGGAACAGACTGCCCTGGGGCAAGACTTTTGGCCAGCAATAACAAAGATAAAAACATACTATCACTAATTCAGCACTAGGGAGGCTGAGGCAAAAGGATCAAGAGTTCAAGGCCAGGCTAAGGTACATAGTAAAACCCTGTCTCAAAAATAGAGAAAAAAAAAAAAAGCAAGAAAAAAATGAAAAGATACTTACACAAATTTCTGCTTTTCATATTTTCCTACAGGCTAGAATAGTTATAAAGGAAGATACTACAAAGAACAAAAAGCATTTTCTTTTTTTGTTTGGACAATTGACACATAGAGAAATTAAGATAACCATTAAATAAATAAATGAAAGACTGCTGGTTCACAGGGAGTTAAACCAGACCCTGTTTGGTAGTCCATTCAAGTAATACTCAAATGTCTCCTATGTGTGGGTGCAAAGTAGCTGTAGGAAACACATTTTCAAAAGCCAAACTATGAGTTTAAATTCCAGCTCTCCCACTTACTGTGGGATCTTGAATAAGTCACTTAATTCCTCTGAGCCTTGGGTTTGTCACCTGTAAAATGGGCACAGTAATAGTGCCTACTTTATACTAGAGTTATTCTTTATATGAAAACATTTAGATTACTACCAGGCATATGGTAAGGTTACATTAATGCTAATAGTGTTGTTTATCTACCAGGAGTTCTACTCAACTCTCAGTACATTGAGAGCACTAAGACAGATGTAATTTCCTTCTGGGTATTTGTCAGTAGTCAAATAATTTGTTCTTTTCAGCCTGTGACATTCTGGCCATTGATAAGACCCTTACACCAGTCACCCTGGTTCTCGCAGAGGATGGTACCATAGTGGATGATGACGATTACTTCCTTTGTCTACCTTCCAATACAAAGTTTGTGGCATTGGCCTGTAATGAGAAGTGGACATACAACAACTCAGGTAAGAAAATGCTGTCCACGTGTGCATTGTCTATCATGATTTTGTTTTAGTGACTGCAGTAATTTCCCTTCTCACTCTTTCTCCACCTGCTCTCTGGCACTTGTTATCTTTTACCATTTTGATAATGACCATTCTCTCTAGTGTGAGGTGATAATGTCATTGTGGTTTTAGTTTGCATTTTTCTGATCGTTAGTGGTATCATGATTCATTTTGCCACACAGGCAACTAGATGGTTGCTGTTTGTGTGGCTGTCTAAGCACTTAGGCAGCTAATGCACATTCTGCGTGCCAGATACAGTTTTGAGTCCTGGGGATAAAGATGAGTAAGACGTGGTTCTCAACTAACTTAGACACTGACAGCAACTGAAATTCAGCATGGTGGAAAAATCAGTTTGGCTGGCCAGAATCAGGCTGCCAGGAACTGAATCTTAGCTCTCTCATTTGCTAGCCAGGTAACCCTGGGCAAAATAACATCACTTTTTGGTTCCTTATCATAATAATTATAATACCTGTATCCTAGGATTGTTATAAGGATAATACAATACATATCACACCAGATTTCTCAATGAGACTATTGACATTTTGGGCCAGAAAATTCTCTGTTGTGGAAAGGCTGCTCTGTGCATTGTAGGAAGTTTAACAAGTTCTTATCGATCACTAGATAACAGAACTAACTCCTATACTGACAACCAAGAATGGCATCGTCAAATGTGTGATATTAGTGGTTCTCAGTCACAGTCTTACCTAGCACACAGTAAGAGCTCAATAAATGATGCCTGTCACTCTTATCCTCACCAGAGATTCAAGCCAAGATCTAAAGGAATGTCTTCAGGAAAGTACACAGGCTATTAGATTGAGAAAATCACCCTTCAGTAATGGCTCTATCAGCTACCACTGTACTTGGGACCAAGGGATAGAAAGCAATGGCTTATTCCAATTAAGGATGGGACCAATTCCCACACATAGGAGAAGTGTTGGTTACAATGAGTGTTTTAGTGTACAAAAACAGGACACACTCAGAAACAAAGACTAACTCAAAGGGGGGGGTGCCATAGGATCTCAGGTCTATTCATGACCATATCTTGGGGTTTAGTGGCTTCTTTCCATAGGAGTATACAGACCAATTTCACACAGAAATTAAGACAAAGGAGGAGGGAAATTAAGGCTGTAGGGGAATTGGCTTTCCTGTGACTCTTTGAGGAAAGGTACTTCCCTCTCATTGGAATCATCTTGAGTAGTCAGTCAGAAAGATGCACATAGCCTCCAGAGGTCTGTGTGCTGGGGGAAGAGGCAAAAACAGCACTTGAACTTGCTCTGACTGTGCCTGGCATTTTCTCCCATATATCAGATGGAGGTACAGCTTGGATTTCCCAAGGGTCCTTTGATGTAGATGAAACAGACAGTGGGGCTCAGGCAAAGTGGAAGAATGTGGCCAGGCAGCTGAAAGAAGATCTGTCCAGTATCATCCTACTGTCAGAAGAGGACCTTCAAGTAAGCCCTTTACAACTCAGAAATGCACTTGCAGCTTCTGCAAGACTAAGTGATTAAGCTGAGTGTGGTGCTTCAACCTATAATCCTAGCAGTCAGGAGGCTGAGGCAAGAGGATCCTGAGTTCAAGGTCAGTCTGGGCTACATAGTGAAATCCTGTCTCCAAAAAAGCACATTAATAGTTGTGTGAGCTAGGGGTATTGAAGAGAAATAAGGGAATAATTGCTGATAGGTCACTATGTAGCCCAAGCTGGTCTCAAAGTCACAATCTCCCTGCCTCACTCAGCCCTCTAATTGCTGGAATTACAGGCATGTACCACCATGCCCAGCTGCTAATGAGTTTCTTTTTTACAGTGATAAAACTTTTCTTGTTGGGAATTGAACCCAGTACCTTGTACATGGTAAACACATGTTCAACCAGTGGGCTACTCCCTCAGCCAGTGATGAAAATAGTCTTAAGATTGATTGTGGTGATGATGGTCATACAACTCTGAATATGCTAAATAAAACCCATTGAGTTTATACTAAAACCCATTGAATGAATAAATTATATGGTATATGAATTATATTTTAGTAAAGCTATTGAACTGAAAGTTCACACAGGAAAAGTCTGAGCCTACCCCAGCCACCCAGGAGCCTCCCTGGAAACAATTGATCTGTCAGTTTCCCACTCCAGAGATATTTTGCAAACAGGCATTTGCTTTCTCCTCCGCCTCTTTATACAAATGCAGTTATATCTACTCCATTTTTAAAGAAATAGTTGAGTAGTATCCAGATCAGTTTACAAAAGGCATCCTCATTCTCTTTTTTTAATCACTACAGGGTATTCCGTTTCATGAAGGTCCCATGATTCGTTTAACAACCCTGCTCCCCCCAGTCCAGTGAACATTTGGGTTGTCATCAATCTTGCTATACCAAGCTCATAGCAAAGTCATTTTGCACAGATGCTTATCTGTAGAATAAGTTAAGAGCTATAATTGCTGAGTTAAAGGGTACATGTATTTGATAAAAATTAGCAGGTTCCTAAGAGGTGATGATTACAGCTTCATTACAGAGTGGAGCCTACATAGGAAGGCTGGGGCCAGTGTTCCAGGTAGAGAGAAGGCAAAAGAGCCTTCTTACTTCTTTTTTTTTTTTAAGAAACAGAAAGGGACTATGTGGCCCCTTCCCATCCCTATAGACTAGCATATTATGATGTTCCCTTAGTAAAAGGCGAAAGATTTATATGATATGAAGAGAAACCAGAGTGTTGATGTTCCCTTAGAATAGCACAATAGGCCTTACCAAAATGGAAATGTCAGAATGTGAGTGAGCTTGTCAGAGCCTGCACCTAAGAGATGGGCTCTAGGAGGAAGCTTAGAACACTCAAAGAGCGCTTACAAGGCTAGCCAGCCACTGATAAAGGAAGAGCATACCATCAAAGGGACTGAAGGATGCCAGGCATCCCAGTGATTCATGTCTGAAATTCTGTCTACTCAGGAGGCAAAGATTGGGAGGATTGAGGTTCGAGCTAGCCCAGGCAAAAAGCTTATGAGACCCCCCTATCTCAACTAGTAAAATGCTGGGCAAGGTGGCATGCACTAATCATCCCAGTCACACAAGAAGCATAAATAGGATTGTGTTCCAACGGGCCTGGGCATAAAAGCAAGACCCTATTCGAAAAAAAGCTACAGCGAAAAGGGCTAACTGAATGACTTAAGTGGTAGAGTGCCTAGCTAGCAAGCACAAAGCCTTGAGTTCAAACCACAGTACCACAAAAAAAAGGGGAGGGTGGTGGAGCACAGAGGTTATTTGCACATAGTTAGAACAAGACTGGTTCTTGGGAAGTCACTCATTTTCCTCATCTGTAAAACAGGACGAATAGCACTACTTCCTTCATGAGGTTCACACCTCTTGAATTTTGAACCTTATGAATTTAACTTAAAATTATAAAATAAAAATCTCCTCAAAGGAGCCATTCCCAGTCTAGTACTCAAAAGAGGCAAGTTCTTTTTATGATGTTTATTAAGCAATGCTACCATGCCTTTGAGTTTAGAGCCTCTTTCCGAGGGTGTCATCACTTTGTTCTTTTTTCTTGTAGTCTTTTTTTTTTTTTTAATCTATGTGCTATATGTCCACGAACATTGACACTTCTTAAAATTATCCTTCTTGCCAGGTACCAGTGGCTCACACCCGTAATCCCAGCTACTCAGGAGGCAGAGATCAGGAGGATTCAAGGTTCAAGGCCAGCCCGGGAAAATAGTTTGTGAGACCCTATCTTGAAAATACCTAACAAAAAAAGGGTTGGTAGAGTAGCTCAAGATGTAGGTCCTGAGTTCAAGCCCCAGTACCACAAAAACAAAAACAAAAAAAATAGCCTTCTTGAGCCAGGCATGTTAGTTCATGTTTATAATTCCAGCACTCAGGAGGTTAAGAGAGGAGGACTGAGAGTTCAATGCCAGTCTGAAAGACCCTGTCTCAAAAAAAGGGAAACGTGAGATCTTTTTAGAAGATTTTAGGATATAACCGTTGTATTTTACAGATAGAACATACAGTGTACAAGTTGAGCATAGGTTATGTTTTTAAAATAAATTTTTAAAAGCTCTGAACAACCCAGGTGCCAGTGGCTCACACCTGTAATCCTAGCTACTCAGGAGACAGAGATCAGGAGGATCACAGTTTGAAGCCAGTCTGGGCAAATAGTTCTCAAGACCCTATCTCAAAAATATCCAACACAAAAAAGGGCTAGTGGAGTGGCTCAAGTGGTAGAGCGCCTGCCTAACAAGTGTGTGGTCCTTACTTCAAACTGGTCTCAAACTGCAATCTTCCCAATCTCAGCCTCCCAAGTAGCTGGGGTTACAGGTATAAGCCACTGGTATCTGTCAGGAACTTTAAAGTAACTTTATATTGACTCATTGCAGAAATGATCAAATATCCCTTCCTTTGTATTCTATATAGTTGGGTTTCTAAATATTGTGTTTGGTTTTGTTCTTAATGAGGAACCAAGGCATCATTTTCCCAATTTTCATGCTAGAATAATATTGAAAAGTTGAATGCCTCTCTGTTGGCCTTCACCAACCATACATAGTAGGTAACTTTGAGAAAAAGCCGAAATACGTTCTGAAATGAATGTGTTTGAGAGGTAGAACACCATGCTCAGAATGTACTTTTAGATTTCCTTGAGTCCTTATTTGTTTATTAGGTCCTCATTGACGTTCCATGTTCAGACCTGGCTCAAGAACTTTGCCAAAGTTGTGCCACCATCCAAGGGCTCCAGAACACGCTCCAGCAAGTACTCGATCAGAGAGAGGAAGCCCGCCAGTCCAAGCAGCTCCTGGAGCTTTATCTCCAGGCTTTGGAAAAGGAGGGCAGCATCTTGTCAAAGCAGAAAGGTAGTGCTCCCACTGGGGGTTACTCAGAACTCAGGAGCCTTCCCCTTGAGTTTATGGCTGTTTTGAGGGCAGCCATAAACCCTTGGAATGATGTTTTCTTCTTGCCAGAATGATTGCATGCCTGGCTGGTTGTGTGGCAGTGTGGTTTCACAAAGTGTGATCTCTCTCCTTTTCTCTCTGCAGAGCCTATAGCTGCTGTCGGTGAAGAAGCAGATGCAGTTGACACAGGCATCAGGAGAGAGAGCTCCTCCGAAATTGCACTTACGAGCCAGATCCTTGCTGTACTGAAGGAAAGGCCTGCTCCAGAGCTGAGTTTATCTAGTCAGGATTTGGAGGTGGGCAAGAACCAGGGACAGTGAACTGCAGAGTGCCTTGCCCTGGAGGCACTGAATGACTATGCAGAACATGTGTGAATTTCTTTTACCTCTGCAGAGCCTGAATGACAGCTGCCAAATTGCCTATTACATATCAAAGCACTTGCAAACATCTCATTTAATCTAAGTCAAAATGGTTTTTAAAAGAAAATGGGTGTGCTTCCCCAGATCATCAAATATTATTCTCGGGTCCAAGGTTGGTAATGAAATGACTATGCCTGACAAGAGAGGATAGGGGAGCTCAACCTTTTGAGGCAGCTTAGAGTTGTCATGGCTCAAAGATCCTTAATTAATCCCAAGGCCTATAAGGTAGCACGAGAAGGTAGACAGAGCTGGGGATGTTGCTCAGTGGTAGAGGACTTAGTCCAAAAAAATAAATAAATAAATAAAACCACAGGCTTGAGAAGACCATCTTGTGCTGGTTATCTTAAGACCAGGGAACTAGTAGCTTGGAAAAGGATGGCAATTGGTGGATTCTATTTTTATCCTTTGTCCTTGTCTCCCAAGTACCTCCCTATTGTAGATAGAAGGAAATCGTGTTTACTTGAGTATGGCTCAACTTCCTGTTGTTGTTGAATAGTTTTGTTTTATTAAAAAAAACACATACACACACAGCCACATGCTGTGAAAGAGAGCTGACATTTCAGTGTAAAGACTTGACATACCCTGATGTTGCCTGGCCTTACTTTCTTAAAGAAAATCATGAAAGCACAGGTGAGGGATACAGAGCAGTGGTTCTCAATGGTTCTGTTCTTGCTGCAGTTGGTTACCAAGGAAGACCCCAAAGTGCTGGCTGTTGCTTTGAACTGGGACCTAAAGAAGACAGAAATGGCCCAGCAGGCCTGTAACGGGGAACTCACGCTGCGTCTGCAGCAGATGCAGAGTTTACGATCTCTCCGCCACCTTTCAGCCAGGAAGAATTCACTGCCTGGGGAGCCGCTGAGTCCTAAACGAGCCAAACAAGACCCCACGTAGCTACAGCTGGAAACCTGCTGAGGAAAACCCCGTGGACTTGATTTTTGTTGTCAGTAAACACCTTCAGCCTGATTCTTTTATTCCTTACATTCTCCTCTGGCCCTTGCCTTCCAGCGTGTTCTTTTGGCACAGGCTGGAAGACTGGGTTATTACCCCACCCCCAGAAAAGTTGCTCAAGATCTCCACATACCCTTCCACCTACTGCTAGTGCAGTTTATCATTCTTTCAAGTACATGGTTATGTTCTCTGTTTAAAAGTACTTGTTGGAGTTAGGGATGTCACTCTGGTAAAGCACATGCTTAGCATGCATGAGACCTAGGTTCAATCCTTAGCACCCCAAAAAATCAGTAAGAACAAGTACTTGTAAGGGCAGTGAAAAGAAGTTGTCCCATTTTGGACTCACTGTCCTTGTTCTACAAGTAGAATGGCAGAATTTTAGACACAAGTAATGTTACAGAAAGTGACTAATGGAACGTTGATTAGGCCACAGACTTGTTTGTCAAGTTAATGAGTTTTGTTTGTCTAAAAGCACATATTAACTTTGCAGACCATAGGGACATACAGAATCTAATTCACCATTTCTAATATCTAACTCAGTATTGTGAAATTACATGTTACCACTATGAAATGCTTTTCGGTTTTCTAATACGTTTTATCAGCAGGGGGTATATAAGGTCATTAAGTCTATTTCCATGGGCTGTGTCTCCAAGTCTCTCTGGATGCACAGCATATCTGCTGTGCATCTCCCGTTTCTGCACAGACTTGTTCTGCAAGTTTTGTCATCTACCATATTATCTCCTTGCTGGGAAAAGATAGTTACTGGCTTTTTTGACTTTTTATGCATGCTTACAGGAAAATAGAATTCTCTTGAGAGAGACATTTGCCAGTATTTGTTTTGTGCCTGGGGATTGAACCCAGGGCCTCCTATACTAAGCAGGCGCTTAACCATTGAGCTACACTCCAGCCCTGCATTAGCTGTTAAACAAACAAATGTAACAATTACTCCTGGGGTAAAGCTGGGGTGCAGGAAACAAACAAAAAAAAGAATTGTTTCCTTCTCCCATCTTCAATAAAGGCTCAGATGTATGTTTGTTTATTTGTTTGGCAGTGGTAGATGTTTGAACTCAGGACATTGTGCTTATTAGGCAGATGCTCTACCACTTGAGCCACTCCTCCAGAGGGCTCACATCTGTTCGGCATTCTTTCATTAATGTTATACCATTAGTTGTCACTTGTTAGCCCCAACATTTCCCTTTTTACAGCTTATTTTGTAATACCTACTTAATTATCCTTAAATAAAAACTATAACTGATATTCTACCTATCTTCATTCAAAAGCCTTGACTTACTATTCTGTTGTTAATATTTCAGAAGATGCAAAGGAAAATACTTTATAATAAAATGCCATGTATGCCCTTGTCAGGATGTGACCAAAGGAATCCTGAAGCTGCCAGTTGCTTGTGCTAACATTAAATTAACTTGAATTTGGCAGAGGCAGACCGGCAGGGTGTGTTATGATCACTGACTCAAATAGTATAAGTAGCATTGCCCCTGGTAAGAGGATTTCCCAAAACAATAAAAGTTCTGAACAAAACAACACCTCTATCCCTGAGTTATACAGTAGCTACATGACTTCAGTATATATTAAAACTGCAAAAAGTAAATAAACTTTGCATATAAAACAGAATTAGGTTTCAGGCTAATTTAATTCTGTCTGGACGTAGTGGTGCATGTTTGTAATCCCAGCACTTGGGAGGCTGAGACAGGAGGATTGAGAGTTCCAGGTCAGCCTGAGCTGTGTAGAGAGACCCTGTTAAACAAATGAAAGGTAATTTTGAACAGGTTTTCATCCATATGAATGTCCAGCATGATAACCAAAGTCATGCAAGAAGTCAAGTGCTGTGGCATACACTACAGGTGCACACCTGCAGTCCCAGGTGTACTTGAGAGGCCAAGGCAGGAGGATTGCTTGAGACCAGCTTGGACAACATAGAAAGACCCTGTTCAAAAAAGGAAATACAAAAAAAAGTCATGGAGAATATGTGATGATTCTTTGCAATCTGCATTGCAGGAAAACGAGTATCCACTACCCTTCCACTCAATGTCTGCAGCCATTCAGGTAACTAAAAGCATCTCTACACACTTCCAAAATGCCTGTGGAGGAGTGTAATGCCCTTTTGGGATTTTTCTAGCATTTGATCTCTGCTGTGTGATAGCACATACCATGTTGAAGCCTCAAAACCCGATGAGCAGGCAGTGAGTGCATGGCTTAACCTTGCATTGCTCACAGAGCAAAGTCCAATGACCTGCCTCATGTTGCAACACTAATGAGAGGATTAAAAGGCAGGTCTGGCTCTAATTCTAGCACTCTTGTCATTTCTGTTTTCTCCTTTAGGTTTGCACACTTCTACATCGAGATCACTGGTTTTGGTATACCAATGCAGGAAGTTTGCATCAACTCCAACTGGGAAAAGCCTAGTAAAGCCAGAGCATAACTGCCAGAACTCCCACCACAGCTGCTGCACTGGTGCTGAGAGCACAACTCTCAGCAAACCCTGCACAGTTTGCACATCAGTCACCTGATTCTGAAAATACTGAATGGTGGGGCTGGAAGTGTGGCTCAAGCAGTAGAGCACCTGCCCAGCAAGTACAAAGCCTGAATTCAAACCCCAATGCCTCAAAAAAAAGAAAAGAAAAAGAAATAGACTGGTATCTCTAGTCACCAACTTTATTGACACCTCCATCTGCTGAGGATCAAACCCAGGGGTTTATGCATGCTAGGCAAGGGCATTACCACTGAACTACAGCCCTGGCCTTATTTTTTCTTTTTTCTTTTTAATATACTTAAGACTGGTAGTTTGGTGTTTTCATTTTGTCTTTGAGATGTTGCCCAACCTGGTCTTGATTTTTTTTTTTTTTGTGGGTCTGGGGGTTTGAACTCGGGGCTTTGCGCTTGCAAAGCAGGTTCCCTACTGTTTGAGCCACATCTCCAGTCCATTTTGCTCTGGTTTATTTTGGAGATAGTGTCTCAGAAACAATTTCCCCAGGCTGACCTCAAACCTCAATCCTCCCAACTTCAGCCTCCCAAATAGCTAGGATTACAGGTATGAGCCACTGGCACCCAGCTGATCTCAAATTCTTAGGCTCAAGTGATCCTCCTGCCTCAGCCTCCCCATTAGCTAGACTACAGGCATGCATCACCATGCCTGACTGACCTTTATTTCTGTCAACTACACAGTAGAGCCTCAGTTGATCTAGATGTTGGTATCGGTATTCTGTGCTTGAAACAAACACATCAAGCATCCCAACTGGACAGAACAATGGAAAAAATACTGTGAGGTCAGGTGTGGTGCTGCATGCCTGTAACCTTAGCACTCCAGAGACTGAGGTAGGAGAATCACAAATTTAAGGTCAGCCTGAGAAGGAAGGAAGGAAAGGGAAAAACGGAAGGAGGGCAAATGGAGGGAGGGAAAGAATGCATTGAGTCTAACCTTGGGACATTAGGTTTGTCCTAAGGGCCCAAGGTTGAAAGGATTAAAGGAAGCACTATATGAGGAACATAGACTGGGAGAGAGGGCCCTTTCATTTCCCAGTATTAGAAAGACGGACCTCTGTCAGTGGCTCTGTAGGACAAATATCTCAGCCTGCAAACTCCCGATCACAGATGTAGTGACCTCTGGTAGCTCTCACCTTCCCTACACCGTTGTGCCTCCCTCTAGGCCTTCCAGAATAGAAACACAGCAGCACAGCAATGTGTCTGAAATAGGAGAGGGAACAGATCTGCCCCTTCTTCTGGTAGGAGAGCAGAACGTCAAAGAAAGCAGCTGGGACTAATGAGCTCTCCATTAACCGTACTCCATTTTTTCAACTGGAGTCAGATGTCGGTCCCCATTAGGCAATTGGCTTTGACAGGAGCTATGCTAATTTCCACTTACCAACCTTTAATTTCTGGGTAAAAGCAAGAAGGAAAAAACTAATGGGTTTTTCATTTTCCATAGAGAAAGGAATAAAATAGTAGTAGTCTGTTTTAAATATACATACTGCATTAACTAGAATTATTCATGTGCCTTTATTCACCAGATTGTTTAGCTGTTTAATTTCCTAATTAGCTATTCATTTTTTTTCCTTCAGAGTTTCTTTTCATTTTATTAGTAGAGTTTCACCTTGGGTTATTTTGGCTGGATCTTATGCTGCTTGAGGTTTTTAAGAACGCTGAAAATGATATTGTCCAAATACCCACCCACTACCAAATTCTCTATGCAGCTTCTATGGTGAGTTATCCAACCTGTTTGAAAGTTAGCAAGGCCCCCTCTCAACTCTCAACCAACAATCCAGGCTGGTGGTGCATGACAGTGATCCAAGCATAGGTCTCAGGCTACCCTGGGCAAAAAATGAGACCCTCTCTGAAAAACAACCTAAAACAAAAACCAAACCAAAAAGCCTCCAGAGACAGCAAGAGGCTCAGTCCCTTAGAGGCCCATATTTGCTCACGAGACAACACTGTGGAATTCCAAGGAAGTGAAGCAACAAGTTAATGCATAGATTCTGGATTTCCTTCAATATTTTTTTGTTTTTCTTTTTTTGCAGTGCTAGGGAATGAACCCAGGGTCTCATGCCTGTTACCAAAGTGCTCTACCACTGAGCTACATCCCCAGTACTTCATAAACATTGTTACCAAAAAAATTCTAGCTTTTTCCTCCAACATATAATTTCAATAAGGGAAGCACATGTATTTTTTGATCACCTTACATAATGAAAATGCAAAATAGAGGCTGGGAGTATAGCTCAGTAGTAGAATCCATGCTTAGTGTGTGAAAGAAAAAAGCAACATGGGAAGGATAAATTGCTGTTCTTATTATCTTTGAGAAGTTAAAAACAGAAAAAATAGAAATAGTGGGTTGCTTGGCTAGCCTTTGGCTTTTCCTGTCCAGTCTAGAAACAGAATTATTTCCTTCTTTTTGGGCTGGAGGCATGGTTCAAGTGGTAGAGTACCTGCCTGGCAAACACAAAGCTCTAAGTTCAAATCCCAGTTCCACCAAATAAAAATCTTAATTTTTAGTACCTAGATGGTTTCTCCTTTTCTGGTTTGTTCAAGATAGAATCCACCTCTTTACTGAAGCTGTTAGATGGTAAGATGTGGGGCATCCCATCCACAGGTGCTGCTGGAATCAATTATCTCCCTAGTTTATTGGCCCAAGTTTCCAAAAGCCTGGGATGCTTTTTTCTCAGCCCTGAAATATGAACATGATGAAGGGATTTCTGTGGAATGCTTATTATACTCAGTTCTTCCTTACTTAAGGATCTATTCTGGTGCCAAATACTGGAAGTTATAACAAGTGGATGAATTGAAGCTGTCCAGATCCTGATGAACCAGATCCTTGACTGAACTACAGAAAAAATGTGCTTTAAGAAAAGTCTACCTGGCCTGGGATGAGGCTCAAATAGTAGAGCACTTGCTCAGCAAGTGTGTGGGCTTCAGTTCAATCCCCAGTACTGAAACAAGAAAAAAAAAGGAGATAGAAAGTCAAGTCCACCAAAATCCTGATCGTGGGAAGTTGCCAATTTAGTCTAATTTACTAATCATGAGCAACCAATGCCAGCTAACATGTCGTTAAGTCCCCTGAACTAAGGTAGCTTGGACTTGATGGATTTCCTGGCAGTATCACTAGCACAGCCTTATCCTCTAATGCTACTTAGTTAAAAGGTAAAATCCCCAATTTTAAGGTTTCACGTGGAGGCCCCTGACCAAAACTGAAAAACAGTGAGTATGCTTTTCTTCTAGAAAAGTCTGAAAGCACCAAGTTCTGGAGATTAGTTGGCCTTTCTCAGGCACATATCTTCCACCAGTGTACTGACCCCATTCCTAGTCTCCTGAAGCTGCTGTGCTAGGAAATGTGGATGCTATTAAGTCTCTTTCCTCTCGTTAGCTTGTACTCAGCTAGTAATTATAATATAGCTCAGCTCTGTGGAAAACAGAACAGAATGGTCAGCAGTTACACTTGGAGAGTCTGCTCCCCTGGTGTCCAGTGTCCTCCCGCCAGCCTTGACTAGTTTTCCCAATACAATGACCTTCAGAAACTTTCCGGAACTCCAGATTGGATCTCTCAGCTTTAAGCTTTAGCATCTAGGAAGCTGAGCCCAGTCCCTTGCCCCACTGCAAGGCCCCATTGCAGTGGTCCCTCCTGCATCCATTGCCATAGCCTGTCTTGAGTAGTTGGCCTTGCAGACTTTAAAGTTTAGCACTGCAAGCCTTCACAGTGGATGTTTCCTTTAGAGCCTTGGACTCAAGAGTCACAAATATGTATAATCAAGCAAGGATTTCAGTGCTAGAGGGAAAATTCAAGTGTGATGAGTTTTGAAACTGAGCAACTTGTTTGCCCCTAACTTCAATCGAGCAGACCAAAATCCTGCTCAATCAGGGACTGGGTAGTTGCTCTGAGTCACATGTTCTTTGTGCTAATGGAACTCCCCCTCACTTAGCCATTATTTACCGGAAATTACTGAGGAATGGGGAAACTGTATGACAACTGTACACAAAGTACATATCCATTTGTCATTGAATGAAGTCTGGATGAGACTTTAGACGTCCTTGTCTTAGAAGTTAAGGCAAGCAGGCTAAAGGCCGGGCAGTAGTGCTGCTCAGTGTATCTTGTTTGAAATAATAGTTTTATAAGTCAATGTCTTTCCTCACAAAGCAAAACTGAAGCTATAATCCATGAAAAGAATTATAACAAATTATTAAGTTGTTAATTAAAACTGGTACATAACAGCATATTTGAATATAACTTTTATAAGCATGTCAGCATGATGTCTGTTTAATAGCATATCATTTGTTTTAAAATTAATTTTAGGGCTGGTAGAGGAGCTCAAGTGGTAAAGCGCCTGCCCAGCAAGGCCCTGAGTTCAACCCCAGTACTACCAAAATAAATAAGTAAATAAAATAAAGCAAAATTAATTTTACTAAAAGCCAAGGAATAATCACTTTGCTCTTTGAGCACAATGTTAAAAACTTGCTTGTAGAGTTTGTGGTGCTAGGGACTGACTCCAAGGCTTTGTGCATGCTAGGCAAGTGCTCTTTCAACTGAGCTATACCCCCAGCCCAGGAAATATTTGTTAAATAATTCATACCAAAATAAATTGAAATAGAGCCAGGTGTAGTGGAACTGACTGTAATCCCAGCACTCAGGAAGCTAAGGGAGGATAATGACAAGTTCAAAGCTATGCAGTGAGGCCCTGTCTCAAAAAACACCCATTAAATTTAAAAACGAAAGAAAGAAAAAGAAAACCTGAAAAAAGATGCTATTTTTATTTTTTTTAGGGGGGGTGAAACTGGGCTTGAACTCAGGGCTTCACACTTGCAAAATTCTTACCACTTGAGCCATACTTCCAGTCCATTCTGCTCTGGTGATTTTGGAAATTGGGGCGGGGGAGGGGGTAAGACAGAATCTCACAAACTATTTGCCTTGGCTAGCCTTGAACCACAATCCTCTCAATCTCAGCCTCCTAAGTAGCTAGGGTTACAGGTGTGAACCACTTCACCTGGCTTATTGAGAACTCTTAAATATGCAGCCTTTAGCTATTTTAAATCAGAAGGAAGACAAAACCTTAATTTTTCACCACCAGAGTGGAGGTGGGAAGGAAGTCCAGTGGCTGCACTGAGTACAGTCATCAAGAACCATGGAAACCTTTATCAAATGTTCTCTTTGGGTTCCATGTTACTTGTTTCAAAATATTGTTGGCATTGGGTATTATTAAAATTTAAATGTAAACTTCACAGATGACATAGAAAAGAGAAGAAACCGCCTCAAGAAGAAAGATCCCTGCTGCTTAAAACACTTTATTAGGGTCCATCATTGCATTCACAGGCATAACCAGGGTGAGGTTTATTTGCAGGAGGAGAAGGTCTTCCAGAAGAAGTTCTTGCAGGGCGTTTTATCTCGGTGTGGGGACTGCTGAAGGGGTGGGCCTTCCTGCTGCTTGGACACCTTGCTGGCATCCCCTCTGACAAGGGGCCTGGCACTAGCCTGGGAGGTCCACTCGCGCCACCAAGCGAGGAAAGTCAGGAGGCTGTTCTCCTTTACTTCTGCCCCTTCCTGCATATGCTTTTACAGAGAAGCAGATGACAAGAAAAAAGTCAGCCACCAGACTCAGCAGGCATTGAAAGATACCAGATCTCTTCCTTACAAGAGGAAGAAAAGGTGCTCATTGACAATAAATCACATTTCCATTTAAAAGATGAGAAAGTTAAGCGAATACCTTAAAGAAATTGCTCTAACTAGAGAGAAGGAAAAGTTGATAATTTTCAGACAACAAAAAAAAAACCTGCTGGTTCTGCCCTATCATGTTTGCTGTGGTCCTTAATTAGAAGAGGCCAGGAAATCTGTCAAACCTCCCCCAACCCCCAACACACACACACAGGTGACTGACAACTAAGACGCACTGACACAGGGTAGTTAGCTTTTTTTCCTCATCTCTGGACTTAATCTTGGATGGCCATAAATTGCTCTCTTGAAGACAAATAAGATTGAGATGCTAAATTCTGGTCTTTCATATTTTTTAGGAAGCTTGTAGGAGTAATAACCTGATGATAAATGACTCCAAAACTCATCTGGCAATTTCGGAGAAAAATCCATTTTTAATGGTCAACTTTATGTACTTTTTTCTTGGAACTTTTTCAAAATGGGAAAAAGAGAAAATTAATCACCTCATGAAGTTCCAAATTCTCATGATGGAAAATGTAATGATGTCAATTAATCTGAGCCAGTGAAAACATAGCTGTGCCTATAAATTAAGGCTCTGGAAGTGTGTGTGACAAAAACTGGCAAGAGCCACACACATCACGAGTGCAGTGTGACAGCCTGGAGCAATCACTTAGTGTCTCTCAGATGACTGAGGCAGTCGCTAGCTCAGAGAGGCTCTCCACCCCTCTACCCCTGAAACACAGAGGTCTCTAGCAAACATGGTTGGGACAAGTGAAGGAAAATGAGTATCAGAGGTTTGAGTGGGACATCTAGGGCACACACCTGCACACACACTCTTTGCCATGCAGATGCAGAGGAATCACAGGATGGTCAAAATGCCCTGGAATGAAACAAGCTGAGAACAGCATAGCGGGTAGCCAAATGGGGTCTGCACTCACCGTGCTGTCCTGAACAGCTGGGCCACCCTCCAGGTCAGTGGCTGTGGTGCCCCATATCAGCAGCAGCAGAGTTCCGCAGATAGCCAGCCACTTTCCTCCAGTTTTTCTGCCGCCCATCCTTGGCAGCCCTGAAGTCAGTGTTCAGTGGACGTGCACCTCTTCTTTGAAGACTCTTTTAAACTCCAGCACCAGCTGTTTTGGTGTGTATCCATGTCGGTCAAAAACCCATACGCCTCTCCTCACACTCATGCATTGACGCACGAGCCCAAGCAATCAGTGCCCACAAAAGCATTCTGGGGCTGGATTAAGCCCCTTAATTAAAGCTTCAGGTCCTTTCCTGTGTTTAGAGTGATTCTGCTCTCATTTTGGATGCATGTGCACTCGCTTCTGAGGAAGTTCGACTTCCTTGTGATTATGCCTATAGCAAGCAGGAAGCCATGAGTACAAAACTAAGTGATTTAACATAATATAAAATTAGCCCTAGACAAGGAGCTAAAAATATTAAATTTTGTCCATATAAAAGTATGACTGATGGGCCAGGATGCAGCTTAGGCAAGCGTGTGCTTAGCATGCATGAGGCCCTGTGTTCCATCCCCAGGAAGTGAACGGGCACATTTCAGTCTTCCAAAATCCTGATTCACAACCTTTCCCTCACAAAGGAAATCTCCATCTTGAACTTCAGTTGTCACAGTTTTTGCTTATTTTAGATTCTACTTAAACTAACATGACCTGTGGCCTTTTCTTTTGACCTGTGGCTTTTACAACGTATGTTGCTTAGTCCTTTCTATTCCAAAATAATTTTTTTTAAGCGCTCCAAGACTAAATGCTCACATCACATTTATTGTTCTGATGGCTCCCGCCACACCTTAGGTCATCAAGGATAACTGCCATCAGAGCTGCTGCAAGAACACACTTTTCACTGGGGTAGCTTCATAGTTAATTTCTCAGACAGAAGACTGAAAGATATTATTCCCATAAACTAACCAATAAATTTTACAGTCTGCCAGAGTGCTCTCTGAAGAATCTTTTTCCATCCCCACCTCTTCTTGAATCCATATTTTTTGCGTTCGTAGAATAGATCTGAGAGCTCCCCAAATTGACAATCTTTGGGCAACCGTACCTGTTTTTCACACAGTCCTCCGATGGCAACACCAGCCTGCTTGCGGCAGAAGATCAAATTTGGATGCTGTTTAGCCAGAACTTCTACACTAGCCAGCTACCGGCCAAAATAATTTTTTGCTTAAAGTAATTCCCACAAATGACAGTGCAATTTTAAGGCATTTTTGTGTGTGTGTGTGTGCTGGAGATTGACCCAGGGCCCATGCATGGTAGGCTGGTACTCTAGCACTGAGTCACACTCCCAGCCCTGAGGCTCCTTATAGATTCCATAATTCAACAAAAGGAGTAAACGCATCCTAACGAACCTTTCTTGCTCATCTTGGCCTTAAGATCTCAAATGTAAGTTGCCCCTAACCATGCTACTCGGCCACCTGTGTTTATTTCACACACCTGCCTCTCTACAAGGTTACTCATCTGCAGGTCTAGCGAAAGTTCAGATGAGCTTCTGGGAGCAAGCCACCAGAAAGTGAGCCACCGGCACTTCCGGCCCTCTGTCACCAATGATGGGGTCACAGAGGATGGTGGACATCGCCATGGACCTTAATGAGTAAACTAAAGCCTAGCTGCAATGCGTAGGAAGAGAGGCAGCTCAGGAGAGTATGGGGAGTAGATTCAGCTATTTCCTGCGATGTCTGAGCAGCCCTGTATTGTAATCCCTGAAAACTATGTTACAACACCACTCATTAAGAGCTGCTGGAGTGGCTCAAGTGACAGAGTGTCTGCCTAGCAAGTGCAAGGCCCTGAGTTCAAATGCCAGTACTGCAAAAAAAAAAAAAGCTAAAATAGAAACAGTTCATGTGTAAACATGCAAACGAACCAAGAGGTTACATGAATATCAACTCAGTTTCTCATCTGGCCAGAAAAACATCACATCAAAATAGCCCTTCCTTCCTCCTCCCCAGTGCCTTCAGTCCTTTCATCAGACAGGCACACCATTTCTAGTCATGCAGCCTAAGTTTTGGACACTACTAAAATCTGTAAAGGTAACATGTGCTGTAATGATCTTACCCATTTCCTTTTATTATCAAATACAACCTTATTGCAAGTTTGGTTTTGTTTTTCTTTTTTTTCTTTTTTTGTGGCACTGTGGTTTGCACTCACGGCTGCTTGGTGCTTGCTAGTCAGGTGCGCTACTACTTAAGCCCTGCCTTCAGCCCATATTTTGGTTGCGGGGGGAGGGCTGGGTATCAAACCCAGGGCCTTGCGTACGATGTCAGGCAAGTATTCTACCGCTGAACCATATCCCAGCCCTTACAAGGTATTTTTAACACTACTTCTCTGATAAAAAACATAAAAGTTAAGTCCAGTGTGGTGGACAGTAATCCAGCACTAGGGAGGCCAAGGAAGGATTTTGAGTTCAAGGCCAGCCTGGACTACATAGCAAGGCCCTATCTCAAAAACAAAACAAACAAAAAACCCCACAAAAGTTTCAGGAAGTCACACAGCTACTAGAGTTGTTAAACCAAGAAACAAATCTAGATCAGTCAACTTTTGGAAAGTCCACAGTATCCACTCCCTACACCACAATCTATTTATTTATTATTTATTTATTTATTTATTTATTTTTATTTATTATTTTTGAGACAGGATCTCGCTATGTAGCCCAGGCTGGCCTGGAACTCTCAATCCTCCTACATCCACTTCCCAAGTGCTGGATGACAGGCATGTCCCACCATGCCTGCCTCTATACTCTTCTTGATGAAGAGTTTATTTTTATTTGTTTCACTGTTGCTGTGGAAGAGGAGGAATTTCAAACTGCTACCTATGGAATGTATGAGAATGGAGGCTTTATGACTCATTTTTCTCTCACTGAGATGTTACCACTCATACACAGAACCAAACAATGACTTATTTGCAGAACCTAAAACTGCTGGGCGCTGGTGGCTCATGCCCATAATCCTAGTTATTCACAAGGCAGAGATCAGGAGGACTGAGGTTCCAAGTCAGCCCAGGCAAATAGTTCCCAAGACACTATCTCGAAAATGCTTAGCAGCTGGTAGAGTGCCTGCCTAGCAAGTGTGAGGTCCTGAGTTCAAACCACAGGACCACCAAAAAAGAAAAAAACCTAAAACCATCACATTGGAGGTCAGTGCTTGACTCTGACTATAGCCTAGCACTTTCCTTTGAAATTCATATTGTGGGGGTCTTCTGTTGATCATACTGGAGCGTGGATTGTACAAATTCTGCTCTAAATGCTTGCCCTGTCTCTCATGACCACTCAAGAGTCAACACCCCTGAATGCAAATGCCATCTCTACAGATCAATAGCCTAGTGGTCCTGGACCACTGGTTAGCCTCGCCAAGCCTCAGCTTCCTCATCAGTAAAATGGGGACAGTCGCACAGCTATGAAGATCCAGGGAGACATCACAGGAGCACTCAGTGGGAGGGCTTTGCAGATGCAAGTCCCTTTTGTTCACTCCCATCACCCCATAGGGAAAGGCAGGTCCTGAACTTCTGGGAAACCCCAAACACATGACAAAATAATAGAATCAGGACCCTTGGAACATCAACTCTCACAAGCCAAAGCAGAGAACACCACACTCAAGTGTTTTGGAAAAAGCAGACAGATTTTCCCCTCAAGCAAATCTGCCCAGTAGAATCACTGTTTAATTACAAAGTAGCCAGAGGAAGGCCACATAAACTGTATTCTGGGAAAAAAAAAAATCACCTTTAATAAGAAACACCATTACCAAACATCACCTTTCAATCTGGCAATTAAAGTGGCATGGGTTTAAAACAAATAAATAGTGTTATTGACCTAGCCTAGACTGTTAAGAAAATGTCAAACAATGAAGAAATAACTGTGATGGTTGCTTGAAAAGACTGATCATTTTTAACTTCTAACACACTTTTATTAGTGGCAGTACATATAAGTCACAAGATACAGCACTCAAACACATCCTTTTCCATGTGCTTGAGTAAGACATGGGAATATTTCGCTGGAATCCCCAGCTCTCTGTCCTTAACTTACAGAATGCAGGACAAAAGGTTGTGTCGTCCCTTCAGAACGCCTTTTGTGGCACCACTCACTTCTAGGTGGCCCCACCTGCTGCAAGCTGCCTTTTCCAGGTGGTGAAGGCTTAACCCTCACTCTCCACCACGTCAGCCTCAGCCGACTCCCGGGAATCTTTGTTTCCATCCTCCAACTTCTTTTTCTTCTTTGCCTTTCTTTCTAGGTTAAACTGAGCAATTTCTTCATTTTTCTCTGTGATGTATTTTAGCTATAACACAAGGAGACTATATTTAAATCTGGTTGTAAACCATTTTATAAACAAAAATAATAATAATTACACCCTCTCTCCACTATTCCCACCCAAAGAATCTGAGTGGAAAAGTATGAGTTACATTACTCAGAGTTAAATGCCATTTCAAACTCTTTTCTGGGACTAGGTACAATGGATCATCTGTGTGATACCAGCTACTTGGAAGGTGGAGGTTGGGAGGAAGTCAAGAGGATCTCAGTTTGAGACCATACTGGGCAAAGAAGTTAGTGAGACCCCATCTCAACAAATAAGCTGGGCATGGTGGTTCATGTCTGCAATCCCAGCCATACAGGAGGCCACAGTTAGGAAGATCATGGTCTGCGCCCAGCCCTGGGCAAAAGCACAAGACCCTATTAAAAAAATACTAAAGCAAAAAGACACTGGGGCTCAATAATAGAGCACCTGCCTAGTAAGCTAGAGGCTAACTTCTAAACCTCAATATTGGGGAAAAAAAAAAATTCCTGGAATCAACTGCAAAAATTAGCTCATGGCATCCACGTCTTCCAAGCAGTATATTTAATGTAAAAGTTCCTTGATGATCAGAAGAATTTAAAATGTGAACCTCAACCAGTCCCAGTACTTGGGAGGCTGAGGCAAGAGGACTGGGAGTTCCAGCTCAGCCTGGGCTATGCAGGGAGACCCTGTCTCAAAATAAAAAGCAGGGAGGGGAGGTTAGTTTGTAGAAGGCACTGCAGTCACACATACACTACAAAAGTACATGTGGATTTCCCCAACTACAGTTTGTCAAGCAACAACCACACAGCAGGGAGAAAGGATTCGAGGTAGCTCAGGACCAGGTCCTGGCCTCACAGGGGACTGCATCAAATGCTAGCTTTAGAGAGTTATACACCTCTCTAACAAGGTCTGTCTGATGGAAAAAATGTGAGAGTACAAAATAACAACAGTATTTTAAGGTGCAGAAACATTCAAGTAGACGATTTTCCAGTGAATATTCTTAAGGGGTTGAACTGACCATTCCTTTGCAACAGAAAGAAATGTTCGCTGAAGAAGACCAAGTAACAACTGTGCACTACAGAACTTAGGAAGAGAACAAGAATGTCTGCCCAATGACACAACATACCCTCCTGAACCCTGACTTAAACTTGGAGAAGAGATATTAGAAGAGGAGAGGAGAACAGAAGACAAGAAGGAAATAGCAGTGGATTCTGGGGTAAGAGGTTGAAGGTTCAGTTGTCAGTCGCAAAGCTGCTGCTTCTTATTCCTTTTCTTTTTTGTTGTGATGCTGGGGATCCAGCCAAGACCTCATGCATGGTAGGCAAGCACTCTACTACTGAGCTACAGCCCCAGCCCACAGCACTTCAATATTTAATGTTGAGAAGACACCTGACTTCAGTTACTTAAGTCCCCGTAAAATGAGAAAAAAAAACTGCATTATTAAGATCCATACAGGGCAGGCCGAGTAGCAAGCCTACAGTCTCAGCTACTCAGGAGGCAGAGGCAGGAGGAAAGCTTGAGTCCAGGAATTTGAGGCCAGCCTAGGCAAGAGAGATTGATCCTGTCTCACAAAAAAAAAAAAAAAAAAAAAAAAAGCAAAAATAAGAAAGTCTCTGTGAACTGTACAGTGCTACACAAATTCATTTATTAAAAAACTATTTTTTGTGTATGCAAGGATGGTTCTGATGACGGAGATGGAGCATAGTGCAAAGAAACAAAAACCCTGCCTCGTGGAGACCACACCATAGAGGAGGGCTGGCAAGTGTTTTCTCGGCTAGTGTTAGACTCAGGCAGGACCTGCCATCAGGTAGTCATTACCTGGGATGATCACAGCACTGCTGGGTGTTAACTCTCCTCACCTGGAAACTGAAGACCTAGTCCAAGTGATTTTTACAATTGAAAACATAGAGAATGAGCTTTTTCCTGTACATTTAACCTTGCTTACCTGGTCCATCAGAATTGTGAGTACCACAAGAAACCATCCCTGCAGGCCAGACTGTAACCAGTGTCTGATAACATGTTGTAAATGAAAAAGGGGATCAAAGTTTTGAGATATTACAAAAAAGGCAAATTATGAAATCCAGAGTGCTGATTAGAAAATTTCAAATTGGCTTCACAAGATCCATCATTATGGAAAAAAAGATCGTAAATTACAGGCAGGCCTGAAGAGTTCAACCATCTCCAGTTTTTAATGCAAGGTGCCCTAGGGAATAGCTTCATGGCTTCGAGTGATTAATTGGGAATAATGTATTCTGAAGGGAAAGGGGAGTAAGAAAGAGATTCATCTCTCACCAGTGAATTACTCCTCCTGGCTAAAAGCTTCACATCTTCAGTGTTAATTGTGCTTCTTTTTGCATGTCTGTGGAAAGGGCAGATACAAGTCACCAAAATGTTTGGTGTTATTTAAAGTTTTGATGAAACAGAAAAGTTCATGGTCAGTCTTCAAACTCTCAAGGATCTATAAGTAGCCCATCTTTTTTTTATGAAGGTCATTAAGCAACAATGACACAAAAGTGAGTGACGTTACTAGCCAAGATACCAACTATACACAGAGACTGAGAGGAAGAAGAAAGCCATCATGTCCGCTTGACAATCAACGGTGCTGCAGAACAAGGAAAGGAGTCTAAAGAGTTCAAACCCTTCCAGGGACAACACAGAAAGAGCGAGACAGTCGGTGCACAGCTAAGATTTAATCTCTTAGAATACAAAGATCGCTTCTGCTTAAGCAGACAATAAACAGACCAACAAAGAATTTCCATGAAGCACTGCTTTACTTAAATCAAGGTCCCAAAGCTCTCCTCCAAGGGCTAAGTTACACACAAAGAAGACACAGATGCCTCCTCATATCCCACTTCCCTGCACGCTGTTAATGTACTCCTGCTACAACAGCCTGGGCAGAACAAAGAACAGCTTCTAAACTGGACCCAAATTCTCATTCTAGTCCTCTTATCCTTGCTACAAAAGATAATTTGAAATAAATTCTATTCAATAATTTATTACTCTGATCACACTCTCTCATCATTACTAACTTCTGCCCAACACAAATAAGAACTGTGTAAGCAGCAATAAGTAGGAATCTTTGTATCCTTAAGAACTAGCCAAGTGGTCAGCACATGTTAGTCCTCACTGAACATTTGCTGAGTTAAAGACAAAAATCACACACAAATTAGACTCCATTATACTCTTGACAGTTCCACCTCTGTCTCTGGAGTAAGGCGATTACAAGTGTACCCAGCTCATTTTAAGACAGTTTCTAATTAGAACCTGCAAGGACCAGGATAGATATAGAAGGTGATGTAATAGTACGAGGCTAAGGCATAGTTGTCCTGGGTGGAGCATATCAAGTGCCCCTGGGCCCAGTGTGGCCCCATTTCAATCACACAGTCATGTTACTCTGTATTTACATACTTCTTTTTTTTTTTTTTTTTTTTTTTGCGGTACTGGAGGCTTGAACTCAGGGCCTTCATCTTGAGCCACTCTACCACCCCTTTTTTTATGATGAGTGTTTTGAAATAGGGTCTCATGAATCATTTGCCTGGGCTGGCTTTCGAACCACGATCCTCCTGATCTCTGCCTCCTGAGTAGTTAGGATTACAGGCATGAGCCACCAATGCCCGGCAGTATTTACATACTTCTTAAAGTACAGTAAAGGAATAAGGAAAAGGAATAACCCCACTGCCTGTTAATAGAGTGACCGCATCTGCTCACAGGAAGTTTGGGGGAAACAACAAACTCCATCCTCTTTTTACCGCTTGGTTTAGCTTGGTGTCTAGTATCTGTGCCAGATTTTAATGTTCACACTGTTGGCTGAGGGACCAGTGGATACCATCCCACCACCTAAGTTACATCCTCAACTCCAGAAGATTAGTCCAGGGAAAGTAACAGCAGCTTTTCATGCTACACTTGTAGCAGCACAAATTTACATTTTAAAGACCATTCCCAAAATGTTTCTAGAATGTATTTACAATAGAATATCTATTTTAAATGTTTTCATCTTTGACATGTTAACAATATTAGAAGGCTAGGGATTTAAAAACCTAAATAAAGGAAATTCACAACTGAAACTGGATCATGGTTTTCTGAAGTCTGCAGCAGAACTGATTATTTAAAATCTAACAATGATACAATAATTAAATAATAAATAAAATTTAACAATGTTATAAACACTGGTTAGGTTCCCACAGCAGGCTGCAAAGACTCTTTAATATACAGTGGGCCTGAAACAGTATGTTTCTGATTTCTCAAACTGTAGTTACCATAATAATCCTGGGATGAGAGACTGTTACAGGGAAAACTCAAAGCCCCAGGATAAGCAAAGTTGACCTTTTGGGAATATCAATTTTATTCAGTGATAAACTTTTTAAAACTGAAGTATCATGAAAACAAGTATAGGGCTGGGGATATAGCTCAGTGGTTTAGGGTTTGCCTCACATGCACGAGGCCCTGAATTCAATCCCCGATACCACAAAAAGAAAGAAAACAAGTATAAAATCCAGACAAAGGATTTTTTTTTTTTTGAGATAGACTTTCGCTATGTTGCCCAGGCTATGTTGTCTGGAGCTCACAATTCTCCTGCCTCAGTAGTGGGATTACAGATGTGTGCCACCATGGTCAGTAAAGGATGATTCTTGACAAAAAATCTTCACTTGTGAATTGTGCCAGGAAAAAGGGGGCACATCCCATCCTCTGGTGATGCCCCACACCTATCAGGGCCTCTCCGCAGAGCACTGCACCACTCAGGTGCTCAGAAGTCGGAGGCACCCAGAAGCACACAGAGGGACCTCAAGGACACTCAAGGTGACAAGGCATCCTTTACAGTAAGGAAAGCCTCTGACAGCCAGGCTCAGGAAATAGCTGCTGATAGCCTTTCCAGAAGCATTTAACATAAAAGGTGATGCCCTTCCTTCTGGAGCCTACAGTTTCTAAGTCACACATACCATCTCCCCCAGTACTCAGCAAACAATTAACCTTTTGTGTAATTATAGAAAACACTAAAGCCAATTAGTGAGATTCTACAGCTGTAATCCCAGCACTCAGGACACTGAGGCAGAAGGATCACAAGTTTGAGGCCAGTCTGGGCAACAAAACAAAACCCTGTCTAAAAAAACCAAGCTGGGCACCAGTGGCTCATGTCTGTAATCCTAATTACTTGGGAGGCTGAGATCAGAAAGATGGTGGCTTGAGGCCAGCATGGGACCCCATCTCAACAGAAAAAAGATGGATGTGGTGTCACATGCCTGTCATCCAAGTAACGGCAGGAAATGTAAAACAGAGGAAGACTGAGGGCCAGCTTGGCCTGGGCAAAAAGGAAAACCCTATTTCCAAAATAACCAGTGTAAAAAAGACTGAAGCATAGCTCAAGTGGTAGACCACCTGCTTAGCAAGCACAAAGCCCTGAGTTCAAACTCCAACACCACAAAAACAAAACAGAAAAACAAGCTGGTGCTGGTGGCTCACGCCTATAATCCTAGCTATTTGGAGGCAGAGATCAGGAGGATCTTGGTTCGAAGCCAGTTGGGGGCAAATAGTTCCTGAGACTCTAACTTGAAAACACCCAACACAAGAAAGGGCTGGCAGAGTGGCTCAAGTGGGAGAGCACCTGCTTAGAAAGCTTGAGGCCTTGAGTTCAAACCCCGATACTGCCAAAAAAAAAAAAAAAGTCTACCAAAACACAGAGCCCAGTGTGGTGGCAATTTTGCAGCCTGGGCTGTCTTAAAAAAAAATCAAAAAAAGCCTTACACACACAGAATATCTAAAAGTTTAATGTGTTACTATGCTAAATATTTCTAATATCATTCCCTTTTTTTGTGTGCTGGAGATTAAAACCCACGGCCTCCCACATGCTAAGCAAATGCTGTACCTCTGAGCTACACCTCCACCCTCTAATTTCATTTATATTCCTGTAATTTTTACAAAAGTATTTTACATTTTTCATTGACTTTCACAGCTAACGTGAGCATGGGAAGTAAAAGTGAAAATGACAAATGTACGTCATGGGGCCTCATGGGGGGCTACCTACCAGGGGCACCTTCCTGAATTAACAGTGATGAAGCCACAGGAGCTATCAGCACCCCATAATACTGCCTCATTCCATTTGGCCATGCTGATGATGCTAAGCGGTTTGCAGGGACTGATACATACAGGAGTAGGAAAGATTTAGAGGTTGTCCTCTGAGAACCTACTGCTCTAATTCATTTGAAATATCCACCGGAGAAATGAGGAGCTAACAGGAGCAAGGTGAAAAGTATGGGTGTGGGAGAGGCTGGCACCAGATCAGGAGTGGTAGCAAATTAAAAAGCATCAGCCCTTTCCAAGGAGTCATTCCAACTGCTGCATAAAAGCAATTCTCTGCAACTGTTTCCAGTTACCTCTGGTGCTAATTGAAGAGACAGATGAGCGTAAATCACCTGTAAAAGCTCAAGCTCCACCAGCTGAAATCAACCCCCCCACCTACCCACCCGCACTTTTCAGAGCATGTCTTCCTCCTAACAAATGTGGCAGTGAAAGTCTCTTCCTGTCATTATCTGTACACCTGCAAGCAATCACAGCTGCACATACAATGTGTGCACCCCATTCTCAGACCCTGAGCAATCAAACCCGCCCCAAGACATAATTTTAAAAATAAGCCCCACACACATTCAGAGTTCTGGAGACATCATTCAGACATTTTCAACCTGTAACTGAATAACTTGGGTTCTTTAACAGAAAATACTTGGAGAACTTCAAAAAGACCAAGACAAGTCTGAATCAACGTGATTACAGCAGATGTTATGTTCCTGCAGAATAGTGATTATCCACAAAACTCCCCCAAAACTGAAGAGCCAAAGCATTCCTGAAATACACCATCAGATGGAAAATATCCATAAAATGTAAACTCAAGTAATCAAGTTCCCTACCTACCTGGCAAACATTTCAAGGTCTTTGGCAAAATTTTCTGAAAGAGAAAAAAAAGATACATTTTAGCCACCCATGCCTGGAGCTTGTCTCACAAGGAGGAAAAGTGAGATCTCTACTCTACACTCAGTGCAGTGACTAATATGGCAAAGCCTTTTAAAGGTGAACAGAGGCACTTCAGGCAGCTCTGTCATCTGATAATAGCCTTAGCTTTTTTAATCGTCATGACCTCCCTGTCTTTCCCAGCACCCTCCACCTTTTATTACAAGTCTTCCGTTAATTGTGACTACACCTCTGGCTTCTAGCAACTATCCTTTAACTTTAAATTCTGCTACAAGTTAGTGCTTGCAAGGATATTAATCTCCTCCAAAGTCAAGCAAGTACCAATACCACAAGTTCAGCTGCCAAATAAACTATGGGTGATATAAAAATGTTATAAAGCGTTGAAATAAAAAAGTTAATGCCTAATGTTCCAGACCCCAGGGCAGTTTAAAACACAATAAAATAAATGTGTTAATGCCCCAGTGGTGTGGTGTAACAGGAAGAAAAACCTACTAGTTCTTTCCATAAAATATCCAAATCTTAAAGCCAAGAAATGAAGTATTTCAAGAGAATGGTGACAATGATGTTTTGTGTGTGATAAGACATGCTACCGCTCCCACCCTCAACCTTTGGGATTTACAAACACAGAGGAAGACCAGGGCTTCATACCGCACTGTCGAAAAGTCACTTCCGAAATTGCTGCAACAGTTTGCTTGCTGAACGACATCTCTTTGTCCAATGCAACCTCCTTGCAAAGACAGCCAACTGTGTAGTGGACTGCTGCCTTCAGCCTCTGGGGAAAAAAATCAAAATACTTCAGTGTACAAATAAGAGCTTTCCATGCCTTAAAAAGTTAAGACCAGGGAGAATGGAATTAGGTCAGTCTAATTCCATTAGTGCGTTCCATAATGGCTGAGTGACTCTTCGACTGTGCTAGTCACTTGAGACCCTCTGGAGTGTGACTTGGAGAAACATTACATGGAAGCTACTGGTTATGATTTGGGTCACATAAAGTTAAGAACCTGTGATGGCAGGTCAGCAGGGAGGAAGCCACACTGGTTTACCTCAGTTATTTCACAGCTATCTACCCAGTTCCTGCAGAGTAAATGGCCCATACTAGATGTCTGGGGAACATGATGACAAACCAGACAGGGATTGTGTCCTTAAGGCAGTTAGTCAAGTAGACAGAGGACCCCAGCTCTCTGCTTCAAATCCCTGCCAGCCCCAGGCCTCCACATCCCAAAGGACAAAAGTACAGGACACAGGACACCACCAAGCAAGGCTGGTGAGGGCACACCTGAATCTCCATTTTTTTTTTTTTTTTGTTTGCTTGCTTGTTTGTTTTTGTAGTTCTGGGGTTTGAACTCAGGCCCTTCACCTTGAGTCACTCCACCAGCCCTTTTTCCTGAAGGGATTTTTTGAGATGGGGTCTCGAAAACTATTTGCCTGGGCTGGCTCTGAACTGCAATCCTCCTGATCTCTGCCTCCTGAGTAGCTAGGATTACAGACATGAGCCACTGGGGCCCGACTCTGAGCCTCCTTTGACTTGGAAGTATGTAAGCCCACTTCTATAGTCCCCCCTAGTTCTCAGCAATCTCCATCCCCTTTTTTAGTGCTGGGGATCAAGCCCAGTACCTCACATATGCTAGGCAATCACTTTACCACTGAATTACATCGCCAGCCCTTAGCAATCCTTTTTTTTTTTTTTGGTGGAGGGTTAGTCCTGGGGTTTGAACTCAGGGCTTTGCACGTGCTAGGTAAGTGCTCTACCACTTGAGCCACTCCACCAGACCTGCTTTAGATATTTTTCAGATAGGGTCTTGCGTTTTTGCCCAGGGCAGATCTCAGACTGCGATCCTCCTACCTACTGCCTCCCAGGTAGAAGGGATAACAGACATGCATCATCATGCCTGACATATTGGTTGAGTTGGGGGTCTCAATAACTTTTTGCCCAGGTTGGCCTCAAACCTCTATCCTTCTGATTTCTGCCTCCCAAGTAACTGGGATTTTAGCCATTAGCCACCAGCCCTTGCTAACCATTTTAGATACTGAAAAATATCTTCCCCATGCACAGGAGTAAAGTACCAAGAGAGAAAGGGGGAAGAAGTTCAGAACAATCTAAACAATGGCCTCGGTCAAGGGTCACAAACTTTTGTCAAGCTTTTATGAGTGCTCTGTCTCTGTGCTGAAGAGGACAAGGGGACAGCTGAACCCAAGACAGCATCATCTACCAGCCAAGTGTCTACTACAGGCAAGATGAGGACAAACTGCAAATACACAAGTCCAAGGACCCCTTGTTACAGGACAGGCAGATGAGTAAATCATCTACTTCTTCAGTTTCAGACATCACAAGATTAGGTAAATTGAGGTCTTTGGCAGGAAGAACCAAAGAACCATCAACCTAGAGGAAAGATGACCCACCAAGATCTTTTTTAGTATAGGTGGGCATGGGAACATAAGACATGGATCCTCCTGAATTCATACAGCTCCAAGAAATTTTCTCTGTCCTCCTCCCCCCGCCCCAACTTCCTGCACTGGACTAAGTGTCTTCTTCCATGCTGCAGACACTGCTGCACTTGGAGCCTAAACCACCAGATTCTAAACTCCTCAACGGCAGGGCCCTGTCTGTTTTGTTCACTGCTGTCTACCTAGTGCCAAGAAGAGTTGGTTAAGTGAGCAGTGGGATTCGTTATCAGTTCACTAGAGCTGAGGTTCAAATTTCATTCCATCTTTGAACCTCATTTAGTTCAGTAAGCATTTATTGTCTAATTAAGAATCAGATTTGTTCTAGGTGAAGAGAATACAAAATAAAAAAAGACAGCCCTGCTCTCCCATTACACTTCTGCCATGAATGGTTACAAAAAACAAAACAACTCCACATCAATGTCACAAAGAGACAGGATTAACCTAGCCCATTATTGGATCTTGGATGAAGGAAAAAAAAAGCAAAACACTAAAAGATCTTTGGCACAAAAGGGGATATTTGAATATGGACTGAACATTAAATAACAGGATTTAATCAATATTAAACTTTCAAAGTGTGTGATTTATTGGATGTAAGAGAGCACCCTTGTTTGTAGGAGACATTTAGTAAAGTATTATAAGTTAAAGGGTCAAGCTATCTGAAATAACTTAGAGCAAAAAGACCAAGGGGGTCTTCGGTAATACTACCCTGAACTTGGTGGATCTCACTTGATCTCTCTCTCTTCTCCTCACATAGGCAATTGCTCACCTGATCTCTAAGCAGGGTCTCCCGAATGGGAGACCACCTGTAATACCGGGTGCTGAAGCTAAAAGGGAACAGAAGGAGCAAAATGCTAACAGACAGTGAAAGAAAGCAACCACTTCTGGGTGCTCCTGGAACTATTCTTGCATCCTTTCTGAAGGTTTGAGCTTCTCCAAATAAAAGAGGATGGGGCACACAGCCGCTGAAAACCACCCTCTCTAGGGAGGAAACTTCCAGCCTTGTACTTGCTCACACTTGTGTTTTTTCAGTAATCCTTTTAAGAGGCTGCAGAGGAGTAAAGTCTGGCTTTCCATCTCTTCACAACACAGTAAAATTCCCATGACATCTTATTACCCTGGAATCCCAGTGAGCGACCAGGAGAGGTGGCTATTCCTAGCCCAATTTTGCAAAGGCCAAAGTCAACACAATCACAGGTTAGAGGAGCTGAGATTCGAACCCATGCACCACTAGAGCCACGTCTCCAGCTGAGATTGGACTCTGGAGCCTGGGCTGCCTAGGTCTGAAGCCACATTGCACACCTGCGTTGTGGAGTGGACGGTTAACAGGTGGGGAGCGGTAGCATTTCCAGGTGCTCGCCTCATACTGTGCACTGCATCCAGTGACTACTCAGATTTCTTGGACTTTCTTTCTTTCTTTCTTTCTTTTTTTTTGGTGGGACTGAGTTTTGAACTCAGGGCTTCGCGCTTGCAAAACAGGCTCTCTACCACTTGAGCCACACCTCCAGTCCCTTTTGCTCTGGTTATTTTGTCGAAGAGATCTGGCAAACTATTTGCCCGGGCTGGCCTCGAACCACGATTCTCCCGATCTCAACCTCCCAAGTAGCCAGGATTACAGGCATGAGCCACCCGAACCTGACTTTTTTTTTTTTTTGAGACAGAGTCTCATTACGTAGCTCGGGCTGGTCTTGAACTCCTGCCTCAGCCTCCGAGAGCCGGATTCTCTCAGTAACGCCCACATTCCACCCTCACAACACTGTGGGAAGAACGAGGCTTAGCTCAAAAGCTAAAAGGCAGCCTCCCGCCGCTGTACTCCAAACGCTGGCCCTGCGTCGCAGTCCTAAAGTCGCCGCACGTCAGCCCGCCCCATCCCCAAGTCCCAGCCGCGTTGCCACAGAAACGGCCTCCCAGCACCCCCCGCGGCAGTCACGCCGGCGCGTGCGCAGAGCAGCGGCGGTCAGCAAGGGGGTCGGACCCGGAATTCCGAGACCCCGCCCAGGCTTCAGAGCCTTTTCCTATCCCAAGAAATTCGACACCGTCCTTGCCTAGCCGGAACTCCGTTTATGTTGTACCTGCTGGTAAGAGAATCGCTGCTGCTCCTCGGCGTCCGCTTCCTCCTCCATCACGGTGGGCCGCACCAGGCAGGCGAGCGAAGGCAGAAGGAGGCGGCAGCCGGGATGCTTTGGCCGGATTGTCCCGCCGCGGAGCAGGGCGACGGGCCGCGCGGAAGTTCAAAGCGCGAAGCTCCTCCTCCCTGCCCTGCGCACGCCCCCTGGCGGCGGCTGCGGGGAGGAGCCTGGCTGGCCTTCTCCAGCCGGGGAAGGTGGACGGGCGAGGGTGGGGACGTGGCCACGAGGTCGCTACTGTACACGTGCCTGACAGCGAAATGTTTGTGTGTGGGTGTCAGTTTGTTACAGTAAATAGTACCGAGCAAAGGATATAGAGCCCACAATCAACAGCTGACGAAATGCAGTCCTCGGCTGGCGGAGTGGCTCAAGCGGTAAAGCAAGTGTAAAGCCCTGAGTTCAAACTCCAGTGCCACCAAAAAAAAAAAAAAAAGCAATACTCTGTATGGTGTGTACCTGTGTAACTTTTTGTGTGCCTTACAAAATTCACGAATTTTTATAATTCTGTCGCCAACAGTGGGGTCACAAAAATCAGGCTGGGAATCATTATGCAGAGGTGTAATTTTGACACGAATGTTGAATGAGGCTACTTTATGTTAAGAAGTGCAGTGAGAGGCCTCACTTGCCTCACCTGTAATCCCAGCACTCAGAAGGCAGAGGCAAAAGGATTACAAATTCGAGGCCAGCCTGGGCTACATAGTGAGACCCTGTCTTGGAAAAAGAAAAGGAAGTAGTAAGTTATTTCCCGTGCAGTTTCTATGGCTTTTTGTTGTTGTTTGTTTGTTCTTGTTTTTCTTTGTTATTTTTCAGGGTTTTGTGTTTATGCCAGGGCCATAATCTTCCTTCCTGTGGCCTCCTGCATAGGAGGTGCCACATCCAGATCATGGATTGAGATGGGGGTCTTACTTTTTGCTGGACTGACCTTGAACTGTGATCCTCCTGGTCTTCATCTCCCAAATAGCTGGGATTACTGGTGTGAGCCACTACACCCAGCCAGTTCCTACACTTTGTACCTTGCATGCTTTCTGTTCTAGAGCAGTTGCTTCCCAGGGTTAATGAGCGTCATTGTGGTGACGTGTGTGGAATATATAGGCACTTAAGGGTCTGAGAGAAAGGCCTCCCCCTGCCTGAAGTACGGTATTACATTGCAGAGCATGGATCTACACTTGGCAGAAAGTATGCTGACTTGATGAAGTGGTAGTCCTATGGGCTGCCACCAGATGTCTCCATTGATCCACAGTGTAAATGACTGCTCTCTTGTACAGTAGGTCACAGAGGTGCCTCCGGGCCTTTTGTGGTGTGTCCCTGCTTGGGAGTGAGAGCTCTGAGTCCAGGTGGGGTGAACCTCCTCCCTCCTGCAGGGTGATTGGTCTACTGCTGGGTGGGATTTTTGAGTCTGAGACCAGCAGGAAGAATGTGGGGTTGCTTCATTTGTCCCCTCCAGTACAGTTCTCAATGCTGTTTGCTTCCCCTGCTCCCCCAGGCACTCGAGGACACCCCTAGACTTGAACATTTACCATCCCTGGGTGTACAAACTGCGGGCCTCCACAGGAAGAGGGACCTGCCTGGCTCTCTTGCAAAGCTTATTGTGGCCAGTATAGCGGAAGGGAACTTCCAAAGTGAGTGCAGTCCTGAAGCTGAAGGCCTGAGACAGTGCCCTGGGCCCACTGCAGTGCCTGTGTCAATAGTAAGAACTACTGGGACTCCAGCCAGAACTCTGTCCCCACAGCTGGCAGACTCCAGTCTTAGAGGACTCCAATTCTTTGTCCCTTTTTAAAACTTTTTTTAAAAACTTTTCTTATTATGGTATTTTAGTAGTTTTTACTTTGTTTTTTAAAAAAAATCTTTTATCGTTTTTAGGACTGGCAGAGTGGCTCAAACGTTAAGAGCACCTGCTTAGCAAGCAGCAAGTATGAGGCCCTGAGTTCAAACCCCAGCGCTGCCCACCCCCCCACTGCAAAAAAATCTTTTATCTTTTTAAAATTCCTCTTCTTAACTTTATATAATTTTATTTGCTTTTTTTTTTTTTTTTTGGTATTTGGGGTTTTGAACTCAGGGCCTCATGCTTGCCAGGCAGATACTCCGCCACTTGAGCCCCTCCATGAACAATTTTGTAATCAAATTTTTTAACTTTTTTTTTTTTTTTGGCAGTATTGGAGTTGAACTCAGCACTTCATGCTTGCTAGGCAGGCATGCTACCACTTGAACCACACCTCCAGCCCTATCTCTTGCCCTTTTCTCTTCCTCTTCTTCACATCCTTCTTTTTCTTTTCTTTGACCTTCTTTCTTTTTTCCCTTTCCCCATTCTGTTTCTTTCATGTATTATTATTTCTACTTTAGTGTTTAACGTCATAGTTTATCCTACATTATTCTTAACATTTTCTTTTCTAGGACTATCAATGGTATAATACTTGGCTTTAATTATATTTCCACTTCTGGTTTGTTTTGGCGTTGTTGCTGAGATGGAGGTTTGTTTTCTCCTTTCTGAATGGTATTGGGGATTGATTCTCCAAGAGAAAGCTGCTCAATAGGAAGACCCCCAAATAAAACTGGAGGAGATAGCCATCTCAACAGAAGTGCAAATCGCAACTTAGAAACACAAGGAATGCAACATGACTCCTCCAAAAGTTCACAAATCAGGACTGGAGGCATGACTTAAGTGGTAGAATGCTTACCTATCTTCAATAACTGGACCCAAAGACAATGAAATGGTTGAAATGCTAGGCAAAGAATTCAAAAATCTCAATTTTAAAACCAATCAATAGCCGGGAGCTAGTGACTCATTCCTATGAATCCTAGCTACTTGGGAGGCTGAGATTGAGAGGATTGTGGATCATGGCAAAGCCTGGGTAAGAAAGTTTGTGAGACCACATCTCAATGGAAAAAAAGCTGGGTTGTGGTAGTTCTGGCCAGTCATTCCAGCAATGACAGGTAGCTTAAAATAGGAAGATTGAAGTCAAGGCCAGCCTGGGCAAAAAGCAAGACCTCCATCTCCAAAATAACCAGAGCAAAATGAACTGGAAGGCTGCTCAAGCAGTAGAGCGCCTGCCTTGCAAGTGTGAAGCCCCTAGTTCAAGCCCCAGCATCACCAAAAGAAAAAAAATTGGCATCCATGAGGAGGCCCAGATTGTTTAGCAACAACCTGCAGGAAGCAGGTATTAAATAAACCCTTAAATAACACTTACCATGTGACAGGCACTGTTTAATCCTCCAGACAGCTATGTGAAATAGGTATTATCATCCCTTTTTTTTTTTGCTGGTGCCAAGGACCAAACCCAGGCCCTTTGGCATGTGTGACAAATGCTCTACCAATAAGCTTCATCCCCAACCCTTGTTTGAGATGGGGGTCTCACTGGGTAACTCAGGCTGACTTGTAACTCCTGCCTTCTCCTCTAAGTGCTGGAATTATGGGTGTGCACCACCATACCCAGTTTATTATCTTTCTTTTCAAAGATGAGAAAATACATGTGTAAGTAACTTGTGAAGCAGCAGAGATTTTGTGGTGGAGCCAAGATTTGAGTTCACACAGGATAGATTCAGAGTCCAGGCTCTAGTCATTAGGGAAGTCTTTACTAAAGCTATCCAAGTGGTAGGTTTTAATCAATGCATTTTTGAAGTAAGTCCTAGGAGACAAAAGCATGTTTAGTAAAAATAAAGTCTCCCTGTCGAGTACTTAAATGGACTATTCTGTTGTTTAACTACAAGAATAGCTTCCACTTGTTGTAACCTTACCCTGTGCAAGTACTGAGTGCAGCACTTCACATTACCTAGTCGTCTGTCCTGATCAGTGCTTGCCATTCACACCAAACCCTCTATATACAGCAATACACTGCTGTCAGTTGGTACGTTTGTTTTTTTTTTTTTTTTTTTTTGGCATTTGTGGGGATCGAACCCAGGAGCTCACACACGTTAGAGAGTGACCCACCACACTCTGGTACATATTGTGGCACATGCAGAAAACTGCATGCCTTCCACTCACAAATTTATTGCTGGGCACAGTAACTCACACCTGTAATCCTAGCTGCTTGGGGGGCTGAGATTGGAAAGATTTTGGTTCAGGTCCAGCCTGGGAAAAGAGTTTAAGAGATCCCTATCTCCAAAATAACTAGAGCAAAATGGACTGGAGGTGTGGCTCAAGTGGTAGAGTGCCTGCTTTGTACTTGCAATGTGCAAACCCCTGAGTTCAAACCCCAAGCCCACCAAAAAGGAAAAAAAAAAAAATGCCTTTTCTTTCTTCTTTTCTTTCATCAGTGATCTGGCTTGAACCCAGGTCTTCATGCCTGCTACGCAAATGCTCCATCACTGAGCTGCATTCCCAGCTCTTCCATCTTAACTAAGCAACATATCACAATGCTGTGGTAACTCTTACGGTTGAGGTATGCCAGATTTCTCTTCCCTTCAGTTTCACAGACAGAAGACTCATTACCATGGATTGTAGGCACCTCCATGTGTGATTTTATTTTTCTTTCCTTTTAAGTTGAAAACTTTCACCTTTTCGTTGAAGTGAAGTGTTTTATAGCTTCTCTTTGGAAAATCCAAATTGCCAAGTCATTCCTTTTACATTTTGGGGCCATTGTGAAGTAAAACTAAGGGTCACATGAGCACAAGAACTTCCATATTGCAACAGTCAGTCTGATAACTGAGACAGCTACTTAGTGACTAATGAGAGGGTGGCATTCATCACACTGGATTATAGGCGTATGTCACCGGCGCTCAGCTGCTTTCTCTTCTTGAAGTATCATCCCTGCCTCAGAACAAGGACAATAGATGATCTTCAAGACCCATTGGCAGCCCTTAGAGGAATCTCATGTTTGCAGCTGGGGCAGGAAGGGGGAGGTGAGACCTGGTCTTGCTAAGTCCAGGCAAAATGTTTAAAAGCTGATCATTTTGCTTGGGCATACTAGGATATGCCTATAATCCCAGCACTAGAGAGGCTGAGGCAGGAAGTTAATTGCCCATGACAGTTTAGGCTACCTAGCAAGACCCTGTCCCAAAAAGCCAAATAAATAAGTTGATTTAATGACATAGGTTTTCTCCCCCATGTCAGCTCCACCTGCCCCTGCAACTCACTCTTCTGAGACAGCGGCCAGAGGTCAAATTATAGAGACCAGCGTCCAAACAGGCACTATTTGCTGTCACTGTCCTTAGGACTCTTGAAAGATTCAAGAAAAATCATTATGGAGTGGAGTTAAACTGCTTGTATAAAGCAGGCCATGGCCCCAGGGCACATAACACTGTCAGTAAACAAGGCTAAGTGAAAAGGCAGTCAGGAGCAGGCCCTGACTGAGACAAAGCTAAGCCCAACATTTACATGTAATTCTCTAAAAAGTTTATTATGACAGACAAGAAGGCATAGTTACAGTGAACATCCATGTACCAACTGCTTATGAAAGAACACAAAACAACACATTAAAGCTGCTGCCCTCCCACTCCCAGCTGCCTCCTCACCCCCAAGACACAATCGTGATCCTTGATTTGGTGTTTCTTGTATTATTTGCAGTCAAAAGAAGAAAAAATTAATGAGGCTTAAAGGAAAAAAATTGATTTGAATATAACAAACTCACAGCACACCTTTCTCTGGTGGGATAATGGCCTGATGTGGCCAGGTGAGAGCAAGAGTGTGGAAGAAGTGCACGATAGTATGTAGCTTTTACTGAGAAGGGGAAAGGGGAAGCTGCGTGATACAAGGATCCAGTGTGATCAAATCCTACAAACCCCCTCCCCTCTGTGCTAGGAGCTGCAGCCTCACTGACAGCTTCAAGGAATGGTGGCATGATCAGTTCCTAGGCAGTCCCAGGAGGCCAGGTTCAAAAACACAGTGGCTCATAACCACTTTTCTAATAGGCCCTGTGTGACTTCTTCAGGAGTCGCTTCCAACACTTGCAAAGATCTAACCAGGAACTAGGGCAAATGGCCGTGAGGAGTGCTGTGTGGCACACGGAATGTTCGGTCTTTGGAGTCAAAGGGTGAGCAATGCCCATTAGGCATTGTATGAGGAGGATGACACACTGCCACCGTGGCCTGTCCAATTAGTGTGGAAAAACTGTCCCGGTTTGGCTAAGAGTTCATAGGTGTGAGCCCCAAAGTAATCTCGCTGAGCCTAGAAAAGAAATTTATTTGGTTAGGGGAATAAGTAGTCACACAACCCTCAGAAACCAGCCAGGTTAAAGTTCACGACCTGCTTACCTGGATGAGGTTGGCTGGCAGCATCTCGTGTCTGTATCCGTCATAGAAGGAGAGGGCAGTGGTGAAGCAGGGCATGGGAATGCCTGCCTGGACCCCGGTGCTGACCGCCCGCCGCCAGGAGTCCTAAACACAAAGCAAAGCCAGGGATGAACGGCTGGGTTTGCCCCAGAGATGCATCGGTTCCATTTCCACAGGCATCAGTGTGGGTAAATGGATCACAGATGCCACCGGGCAAAACCCACTGGGAGAATTCTTGTGCCACCTGGTTCTTGGTTACATACCTGGCAGTTTTCAACAGCAGATTTAAAGAAGTCATCTAGCAGTAGGTTCTGAAGTTCTGGGTTTCGATCAAATGCATCTTTTATCTTTCCCAGGAATACACTGAAATAGAGAGGGAAGAAATCAATGGATACTAACTTAAGCAGGCTGAATGCCTGGACAAAGCAGGGGAAATAAGTCAATGTATAATATAGAGAGGCTCAAAGTTACAGTCCTCATCCCTCAGTTACCTGAATGAAAGTGCAGAGGGAAAGGCCAGAGGCAAGACCAGGGGCGTGGCAATTCTCACAGGGCTACTTTAAAAGGCATGGTGTAGACAATCCAGTTAGAGTGGCTGAGTAATCAGTCTACACAAGGCTGCACCCCAAATCCACAGCCACTCTGTTCTTCTTATGAAAGTAACAGTATAGTATTTGCACATCACCTACACAGATCCTCCTGCACATTTTATGGGTTTTGTCTTGTTTTGGGTTTTGTGTGCGTGGTACTGAAGATTAAACTCAGGGCCTCATGCTTGCTAGACAACTGCTCTATGAGTCACACCTCCAGTATTTTTTAAGTCATCTCTAGGTCTCTTGTAATACCTGATACAATGTATATGCTATGTAAACAACTGTTACACTGCATTGTTTAGGAGGTAAGAAAAAAGAACACCTGTGTGTATACAGTACACACTCGGGCGTTTTTTTTTTTGGTGGTGGTGTTAGGGATTGAACCCAGGGCCTTGCGTACAACAGACAAGTACTCTACCACAGACAAGCATCTATACCTCCAGCCCCAGACATAGTATTTTTCCAAAGATTTTCTATTTGCAACCAGTTGAATCTGTGGTGCCAATACAGAGGGCAAGTGCATAAGATTAAAAGTGAGCCACGACAATGTTGTTCCCAGTGTCTGGTGACAGGGCTGTCACCAGTTACAGAGAATTGTATGAGCAGGTGTCCTGAGATCAGTTATCTGGCAAGGCAATACAGTGTGCCTATGGTACCAGACCCAAGACTGCCTCTCACTTACCTTCTTATGATGCAGCCCCCTCTCCACATCAGGGCAATGCCACCATAATTGAGGGTCCAGCCAAATTCAGCAGCTGCCTGTCTGAGCAGCATAAAGCCTTGAGCATATGAGATTATCTTGGAAGCATAGAGGGCCTGCAGAGAGACACCCAGACAAATGAGAGCTGCACTTAGCTGAGCAGCCTCCTCCCATCTTTTCCTCACCTTATGGAGACCCCAGGGAGGACAGTATAGGAAAATGCTGGAAATCAGATCAAGGGAGAGGCTGAACTGTATTCTGCCTGCCACCCCAGGGCCTCAGAGCTCCCCCACAACCCCTACCCACTGCCTTCCAAAGGGCCAATGAAGCCTATGGCCAAGGACTGCCTACCTTTCGAATGTCTTCAAGGAATAACGTTTTATCACCTTTAAACTGGACCTTCTGAGGGCCCTTAAGCTTTCTGCTGGCTTGAATTCTCTCATCCTTTAGAGATGATAAGCACCGAGCAAAGACAGCTTCTCCTACATGAAGATGTTGAAGGAGAGATGGTCACAAATCACCAGAGTTCACACAAAACTATATGAAATGCTTACACACAGCTGGAGCATGGGGAAAGGAGAGGGGGCAGGAAACCCAAGCTTTAGAAAGAGCTCAAAGTTCCAACCTGAGGCCACAAAATTTAATTGAGGTCAGAAAGAAACTTTTATAAAAGCTCTAAACAATTAATTTGATAGCTAAAACTCCAAGTCAGTCTTTCAGCATGAATTCAGGTATTCAGCTGTAAAGATATACTAAAAAAAAAAACCCTCAAAATTCAAAGGAAGTTTGAGGGAAAACATAACTATTCAGAATTATTCAATATTAGTCTATAGTTAAATTTTAAGTTTCAATTTTAAGCCCTTTATTTTTTAATTTTACTCATTTTTGTTTATTTTTGCATTACTGGGTTTTAAACCCAGGGCCTCACTTCCTTGCTGGAGCTATACCCTCAGCCCCTTTATTTGTTTTGGTGCACTGGAGTTTGAACTCAGGGCCTCAACTTGCTACGCAGACACCTTGTGCTTAAGCCACTCCACCAGCCCTTTTTTGTGATGGGTTTTTCAAGATAGGGTCTTGAGAACTATTGAAGCCAGGCTGGCTTCAAACCAAGATCCTTCTGACCTATGCCACCTGAGTAGCTAGGATTATAGGTGTGAGCCATCGCACCTGGCTTCCTTTTGTTTTTTTTTTAGATAGGGCCTTGCTAATTTTGCCAGGCCTGACCTCAAGCTCTTGGTGTGTGCCACCATACCCTAGAGGACACTAAAGACTTTTATTTTCTTTTCAAGCACTAGTTTCATAACAACTTGAAATAACTAGTACATTAAGAAGTTATTCACAGGACTCCCCACTCAAAATTTCTTAATTCTGACATTTTACAGTTTTCAGTACACCTACAATCATTAAGTTTCATAATTTTACTTCATGCAAATAAACATTTCAATGTATGCAGTATTTTAATATTAAGACATTTAGTATCTTCAAAATTCCCTTTTAAGAGACTATTTGCTCAATTGAGAACTTGTGTAGTAAGAATCTAGCTTGCAGCTGGTGGCTCACACCTGTAATCCTAACTACTTGGGAGCCTGAGACTGGGAGGACTGCAGTTTAAGACCAACCCAGGGAAATAGTTCCTGAGACCCTATCTCCAAAAATAAGCAGAGCAAAATGGACTGGGGGAGTGGCTCAAGCAGTAGAACTCCTGCTTTGCAAGTACAATGTAAGCCAAGTTTAAACTCCAGTTCCACCAAAAAAATAATGGTATTATTATTCTCTCTCCTTCCCTCTCCCCCTAGACAAAATGGGTTGAAATCTCTGGGAACTAACAGGACTTCAGTTTTAAATAAAAGATGCCAGTCATAAACTAGAGAATACAACTGAACTTCACACATGCCAAGAGCAAATGTCTTCCTGCCATTACCCAACCATTGTCCTTCCCTGTGACAGAGGATGACTGGACATTTGTGGAAGGAAGCACTGTAAGACAACTGTGCAAGAAGTAAGTGTGGCAATCCCTCCCGTGTTACGTAAGGACGATCAGACTAGGACCAGCTTCCCCTGAGTTCACCAAGAATGACACCACCCAGGGACGGTGGGCCTGCCCTGGCAGGAAGGGAACAGAGTCTGTAAAATAAAGGAGTGGAAAGGAGCATGCTTCTGGAGACAGTAATACACTGATACAAGTCAGAGGGTGGCTAAATGCTCCTTGCTTACATTGCCATTTGGATTGGCTAAAAACCAGCAACTTCCTTCTACACAGAGCAGGACTGAAAAGCCTGTTTCCCTCTTTATATGCCTTACACCATGAAGTGCAAACAGAGTGAGGCATTACTAATCAGGAAGTCAAAATGAGGAAGGAGAGGGAGGTAAAGGCAATGCGCACCCTGAAAAGCGAACAGGAAAATGAGTTATAGGGAGAACCATTTTGCCAGGAGCAAGGTCTGCCTCTCAGCAACTGTGTGAGGCACCTACTTTCATTCTCTTTTTTCCAGTCTTTTCAGAAGTGCATCTGTTTTATTGTTTTGGGCTTTTTTTGGTATTAGGATTTGAACTCAGGGCCTTGTACTTGCCAGGCAAATGCTCTACCACTTGAGCCATACCCTAGTCCTTTTTGCAATAGTTATTTTTTGACTAGGGTCTCACATTTTTTCCTCAGGCCAGGATCCTGGACTGTGATCCTCCATTTATGCCTCCTGAGTAGCTGCGATCACAGGTGCATACCACTGTACCCAGCTCTTACTTTATTCTTAAAAGAGCAAGTGCCGGCAGAGCATCAGTGCCTCACACCTGTAATCCTAGCTACTCAGGACGCAGAGATCAGAAGGATCCCGGTTGGAGGCCAGCAGGGGCAAATAGTTTATAAGACCCTATCTCAAAAACCCATCCCAAAAAGGGCTGGTAGAGTGGTTCAAGGTGAAAGCTCCGAGTTCAAGCCCCAGAACCACAAAAAAATAAAAATAAAAAAGAACAATAGCTGGGCACTGGTGGCTCATGCTTGTGATCCTAGCTATTCAGGAGGCAGAGATCAGGAGGACTGCTGTTCAAAGCCAGCCTGGGCAAATAGTTCCAGAGACCCTATCTGGAGCGAGCTTTTTTCTCACTCCCTTGTTATTACTGAACCTAACTGGGCAGCAATGGGAGATGCAGAAAGGACACAAGATAGACAGAGAGTTGGGGCCAGGTGTGTTGGGCACTTGGGTGGAGCTGCACAACCCTCATTACTTTATTCTCTTCATTTACTTTGTTTTTTTTCTCTATCTTTACTCTTTAAGGCCTTACTCCTTTACAATTCTTTAAAACCTTGCTTCCCTATTCTTTAAAACCTCTTTTCTTAAGACTCACACTGTCCCATGTTTTCTTTAGCATAATCTCTCTTAAAGTATTTGCCCCTAGACTTGCACTGTCCCATGTTCTCTCTTTAGTTTTCTTAAAGCCTTGGTGCTCAGACTTGCACTGTCCCATTTTCTCTTTAGCTTTTCTTTAGCTTAGCTTTTCTATGTATAAAGTTCTCAGTGCAGACTTTCTATCAACCCCTCTTTAGCAATTCATTCCCTTCAACAAACCTCCCTTCAGCAATTGATTTTCCCTTCAGTAATCCTTTTCCCTTCAGCCAAAAGCCTCCCTTCATCAAAAAGCCTCCCTTTACCCGAAAAGCCTCCCACATCCAAAAGCCAAAAGCCCAAAGCAAAAGCCTCGTATCCTCCTTCAGCAAATCTTTTATACACAATGGTAAACAAGGAGGTGGAGCAACAGTTCTTGGGGAGGGCATGACACTGTAACAAGAGGAACCTGCATTCTACTTCTCTGAACTGAAAATAAACATCTTAGGAAAAACAGCTGTTCTGCATCTTATTCTCACCTTATTCTGTGGCCAGGGCTGTGCCGAACTCAGCCTACAGAACATTGGGTACAGCTGTGCTAATGTCTAGTTCTCACAGGCTTCTCATAATCCACACCTATCTCAGAAAAAAAATCACAAGATAGGGCTGGTGGAGTGGCTCAAGGCAAAGGTCCTGAGTTCAAGCCCCAGTACAGCAAAAAAAAAAAAAAAAAAAAAAAAGCTTTTTATTTCTGTCTGAGTGTGATACTTAGTTCATTAATAGAAGATAACCTGAGTAGTGGTTTTCCTGTAAGTGACAAAAGGGAAGGAACTTAAGAATGTTCAGAGACTTCAAATATATAGGTTATGTTCTATTTTTTTTTTAGCATCTTGGGGAGAACCTGCAAAATATTAACAAATCCTGAATGTATAAACAAAATGTAAACTTTTCTATGAAAAATTTCTCTCTGGTTACTTCCCTATTAAAGAGATCTTAATATCACTGACTATAATTAAATCATGGAGCTAAAATATTCCAAAGGTAATACCAGACAGGAAGGATGGTAATTTGCCTTTACCTCCAGGTCCATAAGAACCATTTTTTCATGTGCAGAAAGACCAAGGGCACTCGGAAAGCTAATTGAGATTGAACGGATTGTCCTTAAGACCCATCTAGATCGATACTCCAGGACATCAAGATCAGAATAGTGGGGGCTGGTGGAGTGGCTAAGTGATAGAGCACCTGCCTAGCAAGCATGAGGCCCTGAGTTCAAACCTCAGTACTGCCCAAAAAAAAAAAAAAAAAAGAAAGAAAGAAAAGATCAGAATAGTGGGACCAATAGGGCTCAGGTGAAAAGCAGACCATTACCAATGAGCGTGACTGGAATGCCATACTCCAGGGCTGAGATGGCAGTCCATTTTCCGGTGCCCTTCTGCCCTGCACTGTCTCTGATCTTTGGCAGCAGGTGTTGGCTATCAGTATCTCGGAATTTGAGAATATTAGCAGTGATTTCGATCAGGAACGAGTCTAGCTCTGTCTTGTTCCATTCCTCAAATGCCTACATGCAGAATGGAAGAAAGCAACGTGAGAGGCAGGTCCTGCAGTGCACGCCCCTCATCTGCCTCAGGTGCTCTGATTCACCTGTGTCCTCTGTAGGTTGACCACTATGAACACCTGGGGCTAACAAGCTCTTCCCAAGGCAGTCTGTGGACTTCATTCTGATCACTGAGTCTCATGCACACCAGGTCAATCAGCTGTATATGGTGTCAACCTAGTTAATTTTCTCTTCAGCAGAATTGCTCTCTCGACACCAAGAGCCTCACTTCATTTGGGTCTCTATGTGCACCCTACCACCTCCCTGGAAGCCTTCAGTGATCACCCGATCTAACACCAACTTCTTGGGGTTTGGGGGTGTATGTGGCAGAGCATATGCTTAGCGAGAATGAGGCCCTGGGTTCCATCCCCAACATGCAAGAATAAAAACATAAAAAAATAAAACCTAAGCCAGGTGATGGTGGCTCACGCCTATAATCCTAACTACTCAACAGGCAGAGATCAGGAGAATCGAGGTTTGAAGCCAGCCCAGGCAAATGGTTCATGAGACCCTATTTCGAAAAACCCATCACAAAAAAGGAGTGGTTCAAGGCGAAAGTCCTGAGTTCAAGCCCCAGTACCACAAAAAAAAAAAAAAAGTAAAACCTATCACTTCTCAGCCTTTTGACTAAGATCAAGTGTAAAAATAAAACTGTTATCCCAGTCTAATTTTCTTTGTAATAATTATCACTGTTATAACTAGTATTATACTATGTATTAATAATTATGCCTATTTTCCAGCTCATGAGGGCAGGAACTTTTGTTTTCTTCACTATTATATACATTTTTTTTTCTTGTGGAGCTGGTGATCAAACCACTGTGCATGACAGGCAAGCACTCTACCACTGAGCTCTATTCCCTTCACTGTTATACTTAACATTTAGAACAGTGCCTCACATACAATACTCATGTATTTGTTGAATGAATACATTACTGTATTCAATTAAATATGAACACAAAAAAAGTTTCTATGAAAACTAAAACGTTTTAGACAGAATAAAAGCAAGCCAGTGAAACATACTGCTGTCAAGATAAATAAGGTTGAAGGACTGGAGGAGTGACTCAAGTGGTAGAGCACCTGCTTAGCAAATATAGGGCCCTGGGTTCAAACTCCAGTACCACCAAAAAATAAAAATAAAAATAAAAAAAAATAAGGTTGAGGGCTGAGGATGGAGCTCAATGGTAGAACACATGCCTAGTATGCACAAGGCCCTAGGTTTGATCCCTAGCACTGCAAATAAGTAAATAAGGCAAAATAAAATAAAAAGAGAATTCATTTTTTTTCTTTTTTGCAGTACTGATGTTTGAACTCAGAGTTTCACACTTGCTAGGTAGGTGCTCTACCACTTGAGCCATACCTCCAGCCCAAGCAGCAGAATATTTTTGACAGGACACAGTGCCTGACACAGCAAGGCTCACTAACTGAAGGCAGTGACTGCTGCCAAGTCTCCTTGGGAATGTACAGCCTTGGGACTGCTATCTTACTATTTATTTATTTTTGGCCGTACAGTGGTTGAACTCAGGGTCCTGCACTTGGTAGGCAGGTGAACTCAGGGTCTTGCACTTGGTAGCAAGAATCCTATCCCCTTTTGCTTATTTTTCACATGTGGTCTCACTTTTGCCCAGGGCTAACCTCAGATCCCAATCCTACTATCTACAACCTCCTAAGTAGTTGGAATTACAGGCATAGGACACCACACCCAGCCTGGCTATCTTATTTTATGGTTCCATTAACTGATAGCTTCTCTTAAGTTAAGCTGAGTCCATGCAGGCCGTCAGAAAGCCAGGGGAACAGGAAAGAAGAAGGACTAATTGTCAGTAGCAAGTCCCTTTTCATCTGAGTGTGGTTACTCCCTCCAGGTGGAGGCAGTGTCTGGGGCTCACCTGGGCCATCTCCTCATGCCCCATGCCCAGAACATCCTTCATCAAGTGGTAAGCCTCGCAGATCAGCTGCATGTCACCGTACTCTATCCCATTGTGCACCATCTTCACAAAATGTCCGGCTCCCTCATCTCCCACCTGCCAAGGCAAAAAGCACCTTCAGAGAGGCAGACTGTGCACCAGAGAAGTTCCATCGGACCTGATGGCAACCTTTGCTAAGGCTCTCTCTTCACAGGAAAACAACAACTGTGAAGCAAATTTAGTACTTGTGAACAAGACCCTCTCAATGTACCTGCAGGTCTTCAGTCTGTATTTTCCATTGTTTTTCATCATTCTCAAATCCATTCCCTACCTCCCAACCCCATCTGAAAGTTTAAACTCTTCTTTTGTCCAGAAGTCACCATTTTTCTAGCAACTGCAGGTTAAATAAAGTGGTCAATTAAGTCACTTGTTTTTTTCTAGATACAAATGTATTATAGTTGTTCCTAATGGCTGAGAGCAAAATGGCCTTAGCACCAAGGTCTGGCCCAGCCCTTCTAAGTCCAGAAATGCATTCTCCCAAGGCCTATAGTTGCACTTATATAAGCTGGCAAGATACAAAATCAGAATAGTTTATGGGTTTATGATGGGATATTAATGGCTACAAGTGTTCTATGACCAACACATTCTGCCCCTAGAGATAAGCTACCCGGGAAACCAAATCTTCTGAAAATTGTCCAGTGGGCAAGGAATCAGAACAAAGTGACAAGAGTCAAATTTTTCATGGCACCAGGCTCTACAGTCATTGCAGCCATCTCCATGACGGGGATGTACCTGCTTATGGGCATATTAGTGACCAGGAAATTCTTTCCTGACAGTTACTGTAGCATTGATACTGTGCACATTTACACCAGAGATTTCCTGCTTGAGTTCACTGTTATCACTATGACTGTTGCAGGTCTGTGGCTGATAACATCTTACTTCACCCTTCCTATTGCCTCAGCAGTGAACTAAGGAGCAACTGCTTTTCATCACAATACCATTTTTTTTTCAGTGACCTCAGCCTAAGCCTGGAGGCATTGGAAAGTCAACTCTGGCTTGATCAAAACACATAAGGGCAAGTCTGCTTTTTCATCATGACATTGTCATTGGTGGATCAAAAGGGAAATGACTATTACTGCACTTTTACTGTAGTAATCTACTATCAAGGAATAAAGTCCCTTTCCAGCCCTTTAGACTAAGAAAGATTGAGCAGCCCTTCATGTCACAGCCTTGGCCACCCTCATCAGAGTCTGACTGAACTCCATGCTAACCCCTGGGGAAAACTAGGCACCAAGTTAGCTGCTGTAGTGACAGCAACTAGGCCTGGCAGGCCTGGGGGAAGGGCTTCCCTGTGCCTCATGTGCCTGAGTCCTTATTTCATTCCTACTCTTGACTGCATAAAAAACTTAAAATAAGCATATAAAACAGCTGATATTAAAAAAAAAAAAAAAGAGGACTAAGAGCTAGAGAGCTCTTGGAGACCATCCAGCCCAATTCCCACATTTTTCGGATAAAGCAGCTGAAGTCTACATGGAGAAGTAACCTGCCTCGTGTCACACTTAGTGATGTTTTTCCATCCATAGTATGGGTAGAAGTGAGAGTTTATTCTCACAGCAACACCAAACCCAGGAGAGCAGGTATCTGGGAACTGACCCCAGCCTCCTGTTCTTCCATGATGGTCCAAGCACTGAAAACTTGAATCCCAGACTATAGGTAAAAGGAATTCTTCCATAATTGTGGCTGAACATGTGACATAGCAAAAGTCCATTCAATCCTTTTCCTTCCACCCACAGAGCAAACCCCACTTTGATTTCAACAATCTTTGGCCATGAAGTAACATGGCTAAGAACATCTTACTTCACCTCATCCTTTCTACTCCTACTTATGAACATCATCTTTTAGCTAACTGAGGCTAGCTTCTGCTAGCACACTGACCTCCAAGCTCTGGACAGTCAATTAAGACACAAAGACATTAAGACACACACTTTAGGCACAGCTTGGGTAGCAAGTTAAGACTGAGAAGCTTGTCACAAAGCTAATCACTGGGACTAAGGTGGTCTTTGCTCAGCTGTGCATTTTGTCACTTAGATGTGCCCATGTGGCCAACTGGCTTCAAAGGGCAGCCCAGCTACTTAAAAAGCTGGACATTGATCTACCATTTGATCCAGTAATACCACTCTTGGGGATATACCCAAAAGACTGTTACTCCAGAGGCACCTGCACATCCATGTTTATTGCGGCACTATTCACAATAGCCAAGTTATGGAAACAGCCAAGATGCCCCACCACTGACGAATGGATTAAGAAAATGTGGTATCTATACACAATGGAATTTTATGCAGACATGAAGAAGAACGAAATGTTATCATTCGCTGGTAAATGGATGGAATTGGAGAACATCATTCTGAGTGAGGTTAGCCTGGCTCAAAAAACCAAAAATCGTATGTTCTCCCTCATATGTGGACATTAGATCAAGGGCAAACACAACAAGGGGATTGGACTATGAGCACATGATAAAAGCGAGAGCACACAAGGGAGGGGTGAGGATAGGTAAGACACCTAAAAAACTAGCTAGCATTTGTTGCCCTTAACGCAGAGAAACTAAAGCAGATACCTTAAAGCAACTGAGGCCAATAGGAAAAGGGGAACAGGTACTAGAGAAAAGGTTAGATCAAAAAGAATTAACCTAGAAGGTAACACCCACACACAGGAAATCAATGTGAGTCAATGCCCTGTATAGCTATCCTTATCTCAACCAGCAAAACCCCTTGTTCCTTCCTATTAATGCTTATACTGTCTCTACAACAAAATTAGAGATAAGGGGAAAATAGTTTCTGCTGGGTATTGGGGGGGGGGGGCGGGAGGGGGTGGAGTGGGTGGTAAGGGAGGGGGTGGGGGCAGGGGGGAGAAATGAACCAAGCCTTGTATGCACATATGAATAATAAAAGAAAAAAAAAAAAAAAAAAAAAAACAAAGGGCAGCCCAGAACTTGCCCAGTCACAGCAGGGTTCTCCAGTTCCGACTTTTGCAGCAATGCCTTGGAAGATTGCCTTGATGTGGGGCCTGTGGAAAGGAAAAGTGAAATTCAGCTCAGAGGACAAGATGGGTTGAAATATCAGTTCAGTACTCATGGACATGATCTCCAAGTTTTTGCTTTCTAACGGGAGGCGGAAGTACTCATAGAAAGTACTGAAAGTGCTGAGCTCTCCAGGTAAACGCCGAAAGAAATGTGTGTATGTTTCTTTTTTTTTTTTTTTGCCCGCCCGCCCCTTCCCTGTTTCTTTTGTTTTGTTATTGTTTATTTTGTTTGAGACAGGGTCTTGAAATGTAGCCCAGGCCGAAAAGTGTATGCTACCATGCCTAACTGAACTGTGTTTCTGATAGCCCATGGGCCAAGTGCCCTATGATAAGTATTTTTAAATTTCTGAGAAGTAGAAAGGCTCCCTACCTCTACATTTTTATGTACTAAAGAAAATCCCCAGTATTCATCAGAGTTCTTCACTTATTTATTTATTTGGCAGAACTGGGGTTTGAGTTTTGTGCTTGCTATGAGAGGTAATTTAAAGATAATCTTGAAATAAACCCTTCACCTTTTGGGGTTCGGTTCATCACTCCTATGCTTCATTACCTAATACAACTCAAATGCACTCAGAAAAGCATGTCACCTTCCCACATCTCCCTCAAAAGGATGTTTCCTTTGCTATCTTTCTCTTCCGTCCACCACTCTCCCTGTCTGCCTTTCTTTCTGCGACCTCAGTAGCAGTGTTTCCCTCAGTCTAAGTTGTTCATAATCCACCACCTGCCTCTTCCCATTCTGATTCTCCCTCCCCTCCCACTGCCACCTCCGTGTTTATGTTTCACACATCCCTACTTCACTCACCAAGGCAATCATTCCTCTAACACAGAGCACAGTGAATAATGTAAAGTTCTTTTTCCCTGAAGTTAAATAAAATGTCACCCTCATTCCTAGGTCCAGTGATTATTTCCCACTACTCACAATTATTACAGTTATTTTAGGACCATACATATACCAGCTAACAGGGACAGACCTAACTCTAAATGCAGTCAGTGCAGCGGACATCCTCTGCACTACTTCTTCCAAACCTACGTGGACCTTTCACTATCAGTCTTGTCCACTACCGGTAGCAGGATAAAGGCAAGAGAGGAGCCTGCATATACTTCATGTCAGAGCAAAATGTCTAGATGAAAGAAACTTCCTCAGCATCTTCTGGCTTTCATACCACACAGGGGGCCCCACTGCCAGGACCACTTCTGCTAATGCCTAGGCTGCCCTGGGCCAAAAGGTAGTGGTGCTGAGGGGACTCACCAGGCTTCTTTGTTCCCTCCTGGCATAAGTGATGGGCCATACCGGGCCCCTTCCTCACCACCACTGACTCCACTTCCCACAAACAAGATTCCCTTGGCCTTGAGGTCTCGACATCGCCGCTAAAGGAGAGAAAAACAATGCCATGATTCTTTCAAAAAGTAAGTTCCTCCCAGTGAATGAGAGGAGGTATAAGGCAGGTATGGAGATCCCACATTTGCCGGAACACCACACAAAGATCTGGGAAAAATCAATCATTCAAGAAAGCTTATCCCTTCAGCATAGCAGCTAAAAAAAACAAACAAAAAACCTTGGATGTTCAAGAGGCCTGCCCTGTCCTCAAGAGTAAATAAGACCAAACATACATTCTGATTTAATGGAAAAGACCTTGCACAGTAAGACTCAATGAGCAAGGTGGGGATTTAGCTCAGTGGAAGAGCGCTTGCCTGGCAAGTGCAAAACTCTGATTTCATTCTCCAGCACCGAAAAGAAAAAAGAAAAAAAATGAAGAGTTTGTTTAATATGCACTTCAGAGCATGCAGGACTTCCCCCAGCATCTAAGACCATTAGAGCAGTAGTTCTCAACAGCATGATACACTGACATGGCATGGATTATACAAGGGGATGGGGACAAGTTAAGCATAAGTTCTCTGTATCTAAGCAGTCGTCAACCTACATAGTGTGACTGAGAACCTCATCTATCATGTATATCTTAGTAGAACAAAGCTGAGAACTACCATACCTGTACCAATTCTCAAAGAATCAAGACCACAGGACAGTTCACTCTTTTATCTCATGTGCAATGCTGATACTTCTTTCTAGAATGTTCTTAGGACCTGAAAGAATTTAGACTGAGGAACACTTACTGTAGTATCCCGATATTCAGAATTTCCTCCATCAATGATGATGTCACCAGTGTCCAACAACGGTACCTGAAGCCAGACACTAGCATTAGGATGGGCCAAAGACAGAAATAAAACAAACACTGGCCATTGAAAAGAAACAGGAATTTATCCTAAACAAACACAGTCTAAAAGCCTATATCATATAATCTTCAGTAATCCTCTTTGGGGCTACAGTTACACATGATTTAAAAGCTTAAGGCTACCAAAGCCAGTCAACCCCTCCACAACTGACACAGTTCTTTAACTGCTCTAAGATTTTACAACAAACAAAATCTACATGGGAATTTTGTATTTTCCACATGTACCACCTGCTATGTTAGGACTAGCTGTGAAAATTAAAACCCTTTCTATAAAAATCTGTGTTTAGTTCACAAGAAGGGTGCACTGAACATATATCCAATAGTTCAGTGTATAAATGGATGATTTCAACTCCACAGCCTGGTGAGGGCAAAAAGAGACCAAGCCCTGAATGTCTTCCCAAAGCATACCAATCAGACAGGTAATATGCCCGTATGGTAAAAAGATTTGAGGGAGGCACGTGACATGCAAAGATGTGAACACTCAATCATTACGGGCTTTACTCTTTATTGCTCAGTCTTCAGGGCTCCACTTAATATCACTAATACTTTCCCACGTTGGAGAAGAATTAACTGGTTTTCAATCCACTGTGTGAGAAGTTGATCATGAGCAGTTTGGCACCTGGCTACACAAAAAAAGCTTAGCATGTCCTTTCTTATCACAGTGTCCTTCCTTTCTAGGCCGTTCATTTAAACGACCATAGCATACTGGTTACAAATTCTCCCTGTGGAAACAACCCCACTGTTAATACTGCTCTCCAAGAGGTACATTCAACCGTTCCCTTTATTGATTCTCACTGCATTTCTATGACAAAACATTTCTTCCAAATGGCTACTGCTTTGGTTTTTTCAGTGTGGTAGCTGTAGAGTTATGATTATTACTATTACTTCGGGGAGGAAGTACAGGGGTTTGAATTCAGGGCTTTGTGCTTGCAAGGTAGGTGCTGGGGTCATACCTCCAGCACTGTAGAGTTATCTTCAAATATCTAAATAATTTCCACTGGTTCCCCTCCACTCACAAGCTTATTTTTATTTCCAAGAAATATATACTTGGCTCAAGTGTGGAGTGCTTGCCTAGCATCCAAGAGGACCTGGGCTCAATCCTTAATACTGTGAAGAAAAAAAAAGATATCATCATACTTTTGTCTCCAAGCAAATAAGAGCACCTTGAAAAACACTGCTTAAAAAAAAAAGAAAAAAAAAGAGGCCGGGTACTGGTGTCTCACAGGTATAATCCTAGCTACTCAGGAGGCAGAGGATCAAGAAGACTGAGGTTCGAAGCCAGCCTGGGCAAATAGTTCATGAGACCCTATCTCAAAAAACCCTTCACAAAAAAGGGCTGGCTGATGGAGAGGTTCAAACAGTAAGAATGCCTGCCTATCAACTGTGAAGTCCTGAGTTCACCCAGTGCTGCCAAAAAAAAAAAGAGTGCTCAGATGTAGCTCAGTGGTAGAACACTTGCCTAGCATGCTCAAGGCCCTGGATTTCATCCCCAAAAAGACAAAAAACAACAAATAAAAAAAAAAACCCTTGAAAAAGTCAACAAATTGGCACAAAAATAAATACCCAGTTCCTAGGATTCCACACAGATTGCTTGTCATTCATATTAAATTATACAACCATTTGAGAATTGTAGGAACACTAAAAACAGAAAATCTACTTTTAAATTTAAACACTAAGATTTATTGGTAAATAGCACTAAACATTTATAAATATTTACACAATCAAAACTAAGATTTCCAGGCTGGGAGTATAGCTTAGCATGTGTAAAGACTTGGGTTCAATCTTCAGCACCAAAATAAAAACAGAAAACAAGCTGGAAATGTAGCTTAGAGGTAAAATACTTGTATTTAGCTATCATGCACAAGGCCTGGGTTAGATCCCTAACACTGAGGTTGAAGGGATGGAAGGGGAAGGGATGGAGCCACCACCACACAGACTGCAAGCATCAAAGACAGGGAAGCCATTAACAGGTTACTGTTAACAAATTCTTATTGAAATGTCTTCTTAGTGTCCTCAAATTGTTACTACCCAAGGACATACTGTTACTTAATTAGTAGTGCAATCAAGTTAACCAAGACTGCAACATGTAAGCAATTATTTTGTCAGAACTGACCAGTTCCTATCTAGAAACTGAAAACAGAAATCTCTGAAGTAAAATAGCTAGAGGAAGGAGCACAGAAAAAGCTCTGTTGTGTTAGCAGGAGCTGAAAACGGAGCTGGCCTCACCAGTTTTTCAATGAAATCATCCACAGCTTGGCCGGCCTTCACAAGAAGTATGATCCGCCGGGGCTTCTTCAACTTGGAGACCATCTCCTTCAAGGATTGTGCACCAACCACTTTGGTGCCCTTCGCCTCATTGGCCAAGAAATCATCAACTTTGGAGACTGTCCTATTAAAAGCACAGACCTAAAAGACAGAAGGCCTGTTTAGAAGATCTAGGACACACACAAGCCTTTCAGACTGTGGGCCAAGCAACACTATTCAGCCTAAGACTCCAGGAGGGCCCACCTGGTTGAGCCTGTCAAGTCACCCGTGCAAGATGAAACAGCAGAGAACTGAGGCAAAGGGCAAGTGCCCACAGTATACTGCACCCCAGGTGGAGCCTTGTCACTATGGCCTAACACTCAGAATCAAATCTAGGAACCCGCCACTTGCACATTGGGTATGTTCTCTTATCCCCATAATCCTGGCATCTAAGCCACTTTAGAGCCAGCAGTGATCTATAGTCCCAGCTACTCAGGAGGCTGAGCTGCTGGGAGGACCATTTGAGCCCAGGAGTTCAAGGCCAGCCTGGGCAACCCTGTCTCAAGGGGGAAAAAAAGAAACAAACATTTTTTTCCCCACCTTCCCCAGATCTCACTAAGCAATAAAGTTAGAACTCTGCAACAGCAGAATCTAACAAACACACCCCATTCATCTCTACTTAAAGTGCAGAACCTCTTCCTCCAGATGCAGGAACAGCTCTACCAAAGTGGCACTTCTTTTACAAAAGTGTTATAAGCAGCGACAGCCGGTCGCTGGTGGCTCACGCCTGTAATCCTAGCTACTCAAGAGGCAGAGATCAAGAGGATCGCGTTTCGAAGCCAGGCCGGGTAAACAGTTCCGCGAGACCCTATCTCGAAAAACCTTTCACAGAAATAGGGCTGGTGGAGTGGCTCAAGGGGAAGGCCCTGAGTTAAGCCCCAGAACCGCAAAATAAATAAATAAAAATACGCAGCGACAGAGCACACTGAATGAGCGGCACGTTCCGGATTTGGTGGAATCTGTGAAACTGGGTCCCCAACCACTTACCACAAAGCCATGGTCATTCATGTTCAGAATTAAATTCTGGCCCATGACAGCCAATCCAATCAGTGCAACGTCAGCTCTGAAGCCGAAGAAGAAAGAAACATGTCAGTGCCACTTGGTGGCTTTGGACAGATAGGATAAGCAGCTATCTAGTCTCTTCCTCTGCACCCTCCCCATGCGCTCCAGCTTAGCTGCGCACGCTCGCTCCACCACTGCACCTGGGCGGCCGGCGCCCTGCGGCTCCACGGAACCACGACTGGGTCCCGCCGACTCCCCGGCATGCGCAGCCTCCCCGGCGCCCGAACGTCCTCCTCGGCGAGTCCGTGCGCGCCCCTCCGCCCTCCCGGGGCCTGCGCCGCGGAGGTGGGAGGCCGCGCGTGCCAGCCCGCGACCCTCAGGCGCGAGGTCCCCGTCCCGCGAGGCAAGCCCCGGGCTGAAGAAACTAGGGAGCAGAAGCAGGCAGGGACTGCCCCGCACCCCGGAAGGCCCCCCACGTCAAACCCGAGCCCGGCTGCACGGACAGGCCACTCACTGGGCCATGGCGGCGGCGAGCAGAGCCGAAGAGGAAGAACAACCAAGGGCCTTGGGACTCCCGGGCGTATGCTGCGGTGTCCGGCTCCCCCTGGCCTACTGAGCTTGGCTGCTGACCGCCCTGCTTTCTGGCGCCAGCCAATAGGAAGGAAGGGGCGGATCTGTACTCCACGCCATTGGTTCTCGCCGGCGCCTGTTAGACCACCTGAGGGCAAACGGGCACGCCCACCCCCGGGGCCAGATCAGTAGAGCGCCGAGCACACTGATGACGCCATCGGCGCGCCGGCCGAGAGCGCGGCGCAGGGGCAGGTGGGGTGTCCCTGTTCGTGATCCGGGCTTCGCCTTCGCGTACCGGCCTGGGCCCGTGCTGGTTCTTCGGCGCGGCGGTAGAGATGGAACTCCAGTTGGGCTACATTTACAGTGTACTAGGCAAGTGCACGCCTTTTTCCCGAGTCCGTGGTTGCTTCCTCCCATCACTGCGTGCACTATGGGGTATATTCCTAGTCCCTCAATTCTGAGGCCGCCGGCTGTATTCATCCTGCCGGTCACGAAATGTTGATCCTCACAACCACTCAGAGTGGGAAACATGAGCCTGCGGACCGGAGAGCAGGCAGTGGGTGTACTTGTTGGAGTGTGATGGGGCCAGGACTTGGGTCTCCTGATCCAGACTTGGAGATCATGATGGCATCCAGCCCTTTCCAGGCCACGTGATACGGATCAGATTAAATGCAAAGGCCAATAGGACAACCCAGATGTCCCAAATCGGACAGTGATTCCCGCCAACACTACTACTTAATTAATGTCTTGTTCTGCGAAATTGCTATGCAAGAGTTTCTTAGTTTTTAAAATATACTGATGTAATTTAGGTAAGCAATTTCATTGGGTACTTAGTTTTTGAGTTACGTAAAGGGGTACTGAAACCAAGAAGTTTGAGAACCACTGATATAGCCCAGCTCATATTTGAGAGATGGAGACTAGCTGAGTCCCACAGTGACCAAGCTAACTTGGAACTACCTCTTGGAGATTGGGTGCTAAGGTACGTGTCATCAAATCTGGGGACTCAGACAGGACCATCATATTCAGAGAAGTCAAATCAGCTTCTGGAGTGAGCTGCTACTTACTACTTGGAGAGTGCCTGATAGAGGAAGGAATGAGTTTTGATGTCACACTTACTTTGGCTCACTCTGGTTTCATTTTTTTCAAGCTGTGCAATTTGGGGCAAGTTTTGTTTTTTGGTTTGGTTTTTATTTATTTATTTATTTATTTTTCTGTACTGGGATTTAAACTCAGGGCCTTATGAGGCTTGCTAGGCAGGCACTCTACCCTTTGAGCCAGGCTCTCAGTTCTAGGGCAAGTTTTTATGGGGAGAGGGGTCTTTTGTTTCTGTTTTTTAGTGCTGGGGTCTGAACCCAGGGCCTTGTGCAGCATACATAGGCTCTCCTACTGAGCTACACCCCATAGGCAAGTTATTGAGTCTCAGAATTTCTCCTTCTGTAAAAGAGGAATGACAAAATTTCACGGGGTAGCTGTAGGATTAAATAAAAGAAATGAGACCTTGCATCTAGCATTTGGTACCCATCCACTAGTGTCTATGGCTAGGGCTTGGAGCACAGGGCCCCAAAGGGTGGCACACTGGTGTGCTAAATACTTTGAATGCAGGACACTGGAAAGGCCTCAGAAGCAATGACCCATGCAAGTCCTTCTTCCTCTCACCTCTTTCTCCCCTGGAGCCAAGGAAGCCAGAATTCCTCTTCCCTAAGACAGGTCATAAAAACTATAACCCTTCTTCCCCCAAACAAGCCATAAAAACCTAGAAATACTACTCGAACCTTCCTGCACCTCCCCCCACCAGACCCCCAACCTTGCTGGGGATGCAGTCCAGGGCCTTGAACATAATGGGCAAATGTTCCTCTTTCCATCCTTTCTGTGTAGAATCTGTGAAGAATTTCCCTGACCTACCTTGTCTGATAGTAGGTCATACACCTTTATTCCAGGGGTTCCTGATCCATATCCAGGAGGAAAGAACATTGCACAGAGGGGCCAAGACGAGTCTGGACAGGGTCTCCCCTCAGGCTATCACCATTAGGTCATACCCTTTGGTCCAATCGCATTTCTGCGTGGCTGTCCATTCCTCACTGAACCTCAGCATAAAAATAGCAGTTTTCCCTGGATCTCTGAGGTCTTCATTTCTGAAGGCCCCTGTGTCATGTAAAACTCGGATTAAATAAATTCGTTATGCCTTTCTCTTGTTAACCTGTTGTTTGTTCTAGGAGGTATATGTCATGACCCTTATGATAGAGGAAGATGAGAAATTGTTTTACCCTTTCTTACCCCTTACTCTTTTCTTTTTGTACTGGGGATTGAACTCAGGGCCTCGTGCTTGCTAGGCAGGTGCTCTACCACCTGAGACAAGTGCCCAGCCCTTCTTGTTTTAGTTACTTTCCAGATAGGGGCTCACTAACTTTTTGTCCAGGCTTGGACAAAGATCCTTCCAACCTCTGCCAGTCAAGTATTGTTTTTGTTTTATGAGATAGGCATCACGTAGTCCAGTCTGCCTCGAACTCACGATCCCCCTACCTCTACCTTCTGTGTGCTGGGATTTCAGGTGTGTGACACCAAACATGACTTACCCGCTCTATTTTTTGGCAGTACTGGGGCTTGAACTCAGGGCCTTACAGGTGCTAGGCAGGTGCTTTACCACTCGAGCCACTCCAACCCCTTACCCTCTCTTTTTAATGGAAAGAACTCAGGAAGAAAAGACACAAACTGTACTGGGAAAAAGACTGAATTGAAAAAACCAAGCTTCCTAGAAACCTTCCAGAGACAGAGGGAGGTAAGGAAGCAACTTTGCAAGAACATTCAGGAGTGTGTCCCATGGCTCACTGTTCCATTACCTGAACTGTTTTCTAATTAAAAAAAAAAAATCCCCATTTGACAATGACATAAGCTGTGAATTTGGTAATTATCTATTGTCTTGATCCAAACACACATAAGCCCAGTGACTTACCTCATCCCCACAGGCATCACCTTTGTTCTATACTCCTTTGGGAATGGGGTCCTATGCACATCTAATTACATATATCACTGTTTTTTCCCCTTTTTTGGGGAGGTGGGAGCAGGCACACAAGGTCTTACTGTGTTGCCCAGAGAGGCCTTGAACTCCTGGGCCCTAGCGATCCTCCTACCTGAGCCTCCTGAGTAGCTGGGGGTTCAGGCCACACTGCTGCTTACCATCACCTTTTTGTTTTCCTAGAGCATCATGGACCCCAGCCTAAATTTAGGTCTGATTAGAGATTAGCCAACCATTTAGACTCAGCCAGGGTAGAAGAAGAGCCCCGTGCTAGGTTCCCCCATGATGAACCTTGATTGTGTCCCCCAGGTGACAACCCCTACCATTTCTTCACTGTACCTGGTAGCGAAGACAAGGACTCATCTCTGCCCTCACTCCCCAGCCCATGACATTCTAGATGCCGAATTGCTGTCTGCTCCAGGCCTGGGGCACTGTTTTTTGTTGTTGTTGTTGTTTGTTTTTTGGTGGCACTGGGGTTTGAACTCAGGACCTCACACTGGCTAAGCAAGCACACTTACCGCTTGAGCCACTCCACCAGCTCTTTTTCTGTGATGGGTATTTTTGAGAAAGGGTCGCACAAACTATTTGTCTGTGGCTGGTTTTGAACCACGATCCTCCTGATCTCTGCCTCCTGAGTAGCTAGGATTACAGGCGTGACCCACCAGTGGCACCATGAGAGAACAGTGACTATGTTGATCATACTCCTAAGTGTACTTCTGTCATCTTCCATATACCTTACACAAACCAGATAGGCACTAAATGTTGCTGGCATATGACTGGTTTACACCAGTTTCTTAAAAGGGGTGCTATACATTCAAATTGGCCTAAACAGTCTTGAGTTCACATCTGTCTTCTTGTGTAGCTATGATAAATCTTATGGGCACCCTACTTTAAAATATGTCACAACTTCACAACAGTTTTTGTTTTTTAAAGAAAATATAGAGGGGTGGGGGAAGAGGGAGGGGGTGGGGGGAGGGGGAGGGGGTGGAGGGAAGTGGGGAAAGATGGCCCAAACAATGTATGCACGTGTGAATAAATGAATAAATAAAGCAAAAAAGAAAATACAGATTTGAAGAATAATTTAATTGCCATACAATCCATGAGCTGTAAGTACACAGGAGCAACTGTTAACTTATCTACCTGTGTGGCCATCACAATCAGTGATGACTGAGATCTCAAGCTACAGCTATGGGTTTCCATTCATTTCTTACCAAGTTTGTCACTTTCAGCTGGTGAAACCATACAGGTTTCTGCATGGTCCATCCCCCCACCCGCCCAATGCCCCAACACAGTCAGGTTTGTCCCTCACCCTGAACTGGTGTTACCCTGAGGAGGGGGGAGGGGCAGGGAGCACAGTGGGAGTAGCAGGTGGGCACCCAGGCAGACTCCCTGCTTTCACCTGAGGCTTTTGCAGTTCCCCAACTCCCTGCCTAGTGTGCAAGGCCCTGGATTCAATTTCCAGCACAGGCAAAACAAGAAAAAAAAAAGGAAAGGTTCTAATTTTATGCTTTTTAAAATTTTGTTGCAGAGAGCATCCCGTCTCCTACACTCACAAACTGCAGTCCCTCCTCCAAATATTGGGTTTTTTGTCTTTTTTTTTTTTTTTTTGTATTAGGGTTTGAACTCAGAGCCCCAGGCTTGCGAGATAGGTGGCTTTATCATTCCCAAATCCTTTTCCAGGTAGGGTCTCCCTTTTTGCCCAAGGCTAGCCTCTGTGAACCTGTGAACTGTGAACCTGCTACCAATGCCTCCCAGGTAGCTGGGATAACAGGTGATACCACCACAACTGGCTTGTTCAGATTGGGTCTCCCTAACTTTTCCCTTGACTGGCCTTGAACCATGATCTTCCCCGTTTCCGGCTCTCCAGTAACTGGGATTACAGGCATGGTCACTGTACCTAGCTGGAGCCTTCCTTTTTTCTTTGC